GCTTGTAATTATGCCTTTAAAAGCTTCAAAGTTGTATTTATCATCTGAATTTGGCGAAACAAGTTTAATATTCTAAAAACCAAGACTTTTTTTATTTGTAATCAGATGAAAATAAACTATCACGGACCCTGCCGTGTTATCTATGATTACTATACTCTTTTCATTCATAATTTCAGCGGGAGGGAGGGGGAGCGGTGCTGAGGAACAGCAGAGTGCGGGTTGACAGGTGTCTGTGTTGACATTCCCCTTATTGTGGAATAAGGGGAATGCAGATGTCAGACTTCATATATTTGTTAATAATTACATACAATACATGGAATGTGTGTGTGTGTGTTCCAAGTGAATCTGCGGCCCCCTGGTGGCCAGTACATACATTATGTGGCCCCCACCACCATCCAAGTTGCCCATCCCTGATGTAAATGGTCTGCAAACGCTAACATTCCTGTGTTCCCCCCAGAGGGAGTTTCTCTCCCACACACTCCCTCCCTGCCTGAAATGCTTCCATTGGACTCCTTTGTTTACTTCGGTAACATAGTGACATCACTGTGTAAACCTTGTGCTTCCGACCAGAGCAGACTGGGCTCTGGTTTCAGACAGAGGGTGAAAAGAGGTGCTGCAGCTCAGGAAGTCTGAGAAAAATAAAGAGCTTTTTGAACATTAAAGCATGGAAACATGTCACAGTAGAGGCACAGAATATGAATAAGAACCTGAAAATTAGCTCTTAAACACAATATTAACATTTTCCTAACCAGTGTATCAGGTAATCATCCCTGAGTTATGCCTTTGTAATATCACAGGGAACCCCAGTGAAGTCAAAACATCTGAAATGAAGGAGCACAGAAGGTCAGAGCACTTCCTCACCTCACTTATCCCCGCTGAGTGGAGACGGTTCAGGATCAACCTCGTTAATAAATCACGACTTCTGTATAATTATAAAATTGCCGTAATTATTTGTGCACTTACTGTGTGACTCAAGGAAAACTAAACTGACACTCACACACGTGCACTGAAAGACATCTGGGAAACACTTTGTTCCTTCCAGCAGCACACAGCTGCTCCGCTGATGAAAGTTCATAAGTGAGGTTAATTAAACAGCATGTCTCATCACATCCTCACTGTTCTCTTTTCTCCCGTCTTCCTCAGGCACATCACCTCGAAAACCACAGAGCTGTGGGGGTTTACCTCTGGGATAAACTGAAGGCATTCAGAGGAAAATAAATAAATAAAGCAGGGACTAAATAAAACAAACAAGTGTCTTTCCAAGATCTTTGAAGATGGTTTAAAAACAAAGAAATGGAGCAAAAATTCAAGTCACCGAAGGAGTGTCCGAGTCGAGTCCGAGTCATCATTACCTGTGTTCGAGTCCGAGTCCGAGTCCGAGTCACAAGTCTTCATGTATTAATCTTCGTGGATATATGTGTTGAAATGTAGCTGCTCCTCTACATTGCTTTTATCCTGTCATGTTATACTAATCTGCAGAGGTGGGGACTCGAGTCACATGACTTGACTCGAGTCAGACTCGAGTCGCATATTTTTTTACTTGAGACTTGCTTGACTAACATTGATAAAAGATTGACTTGACTTTGACTTGGTATTCATGACTTGAGACTTGACTTAAGCTTGAGACAGATGACTTGAAAGGACTTGACTGTTTAAAATTAAATATTTGCGTTTGTTTTTGTAGTGAGATATTACGTTTAGTTTTTTCGAAAAACGTGATTGGGTGATTATAGCGCCATGCGCGCAAACCTGGCAACCCACTAGAAGGCAGGAGTGTCAGTTATCATGGCAGCGGCTAGCGTTACTCCACAAATAGTGAAGTTTGGATTCAAGGATTATGTTGTCGATGACGCTAATAAGAAGAGAACAGTGGTATGCAGGGTCTGCAGCATAAAGATCAGTGACACGACCACCACAACATCCAACTTCATTCGTCACTACAAAAAAACCCACAGAGAAAGGTACGTGAATGTGTTGTGTTAGCTAGGAAGCTAAGTTTAAGCTACGTTAGACTTGGTTTCAAATCGATTAAGCATTGCAAAGAGAAGACAAAACGATAAATTAACACTAGAACCGCCAAGGGATTCATTTTGACTAACCCCGATACTGACGGGCTGTCAGGAGAGGGAGAGAGAGAGAGGAAAAGAGATGCCTCGTTTATTTCCCCTGTGTTATTATCAGAAGTTACTGTAAACGGTTGAATAATGTAGTTCATCTACTTTTAGTAGTTTGTTTAAATGTTTTAATTATGTTGTTTTTGTTTGTAGAAGTGCATCATTCCTTGATTTATTATTAGATCACGTTACTCTGGGTGTTTCTCAATCGCGAGTAAAGCTGCTTCAGAGCCACTATTTCAAGCATACTACGTCATCGAGTGTCGCCGAAGTACTGTTCCAATCTCCAGTATACTTGGAAATCTACCGAGCCCGGCGTACTCCGTTTGGAGAAATATCGAGTGTGCACATGAGTAGACTTCGCGGCCTTAAAATCCCCACAATGCTTTGCGCACGGACCAATTTCCCCAAATCTGTGGCGGAAGATGTAAGGCGGGGCCTCTCATATGACGCACACCTGCACACTTGCTAGCGTGTTCCACACTTCGTTTTTCCGAATGTCAGGAAGTATTCTTGACTCGCTTCTGAAGCAAGATGCTCGGCAGACATGTGCTACCAAGCAAGCGTACTCGCGATTGAGAAACACCCTCTGATGATAGTGTAAGCATTGGGTTGAGAGGTCATGTGTTGTGAGCATGCGCAGGCTGTCCTGGAGTGGTGAGAGGGAGAGTGTGGTGTGACTCGACGTTAAATAAAACAGAGGCATCTGTGACGCTCCAAAAAGTACTAAGTTCCTGAGTTTTTGTTACACAGAAGTATTCTTGAAGCCTTAACACCTCGGACGTTACAATAGTGTTCAAGACAGCCTATATGTCTGAACTCGATCCTGAGAGTAACGGTGCGTCTACACAGCAGCGTTAAAAAAATCTTGGAGGTGGGCGTATCTGAAGCTTGAGGATTTTTTGCGAGCAAGGCACGAACAACCAATCACATGAATCTCCCGCCCGCGACATACGAAGCAAAAAAGCCCGAAGTAAACTGGATATAAACTCCCCAAAACAGGCGAAAACCTACCACTGTCTCTGCCACCTCCCTCCATGCCTGGCTCCTCCGGTTTATATCCCGGTAGGTCTGGTCATAAAGCACCGGGTGATTGATTCGCTACCGCTAATTTCTCCTCCATTTTTTGGAATATGAGGAAATGACCTGCGGTATGTCTCTCCCAGCATACACGCCGTTTGATTGGCTAGAGCTTGAACTGTCAGATTTGCGTACATGGGATTTGATTGGCTGACGCTTCCACCTTGTTCAACTTTGAATCCTGAAAATCCTGAAAATCTCCGCTCGCCTGCCCACAATGCATTTCGGCGAAAAGTGAGGGAAAGTGACGTCACCCCATTCAAAGTGAATGGGCAGAAGCGTTTCAAGATTTTTTTAACGCTGCTGTGTAGACGCACCGTAATGTGTTACGGAGCCTTCTCTTCAATCTTGTTTCCACATAACGAGCATTTTGCGCTGCTCTTTTCAAATGTGGAAGCAGAATGTGTGAAAGCATACAGCACGATGCGGGGTGTGTCTCTAGACATCTTTAGACTGGAATAGCGGGGCCCAGCATGTGAACTCGCCTCGCCGGTGCACACGCCAGGATAGAGGACATCAGACTCCAGAGACAACTTGCTCGAGTCCGATTCCGAGTCCAAGTCAGAGCGTCAATGTACAAGTCGAGTCCGAGTCATTGTGGGGGGGAAAAATTCACGAGTCTGAGTCCAAGTCATCGTGCGCGAGAATTCACAAGTCCAAGTCTGAGTCGCGTCAATCAGTGAGCGAGTCCGAGTCGAGTCACGAGTCCCGAAAATCGGCACTCGAGTCCGACAGGAGTCCGAGTCCAATACTCCATCTCTGTCACAATTCACTTGGATCAATGTTTGCCCCTTCCCTGGACCTGGGGCGCCTGCTATTAAGCCAGGGCATGAAGGACCGGCCCGGGTCTCTAGAAGTGGCGACTCCATGAAGGTATGATAACTTATTTCTTCTTCTTTCAAACGTCTTTACTTTCTCTGCATCAGTTGTTGCTCGCTCGCTGAAGAGAAAAAGGATAACAGGATCAGGAGGCGTGGCGACCTTATATACTGTGTGCCTGCACGCGCATTCAGGTAGGCTCGCCCTGATTGGCCGGCTACGTTTATGCAACTCGGTATGTGAATGCTCGCATAGCATGGTTAAGGGTAGTACCCATAGAGTCCAGTAGAGGGCGGAGCCTGTGTGAAATATAACCATAACTTGGAGAAAGAAATCACATTCAAAATAAGAAAATGTGTATAAAGGAGGTTTTCTAAACTCTCAAATTAGTTTTCAAAATGTAAAAAAAAAACATGAAGAAGAAAAAACAAGACAGCAACGATTTTAAAAAGGGCCAAAGACCAGGGTTTAACATCTGCTGATATAAGGTGTGCATTACGTGAAGGAATCATCCTAATGTCCTTGGCGTGCAGTTCTCAACCTCTCTTAAGCTTTATAGAAAGGTTGTTGTCTCACTCTGATTGGCCGAGAGGGGAAACGCACCAGCTGCTGTCAATTCTTAATTAGGAGCCAACAGGTGATCTGAACAACCTGCAATCAACTCATGTGATATTCAGCTACAACAGGCTCACCCTTTGACATTTTTTAAAAATACATTTAATTCATTAATAAAAAATGTGCCCTCTACATGGGAAGTGGTTTTCTCTAAAATTGTAATTTGAAACCGTAAAGCAAATTAATGACCCATTTCATGACTAAGGGTCACTTTAAAGGCTTGATTTCCTTGATGAGAAGCAGTTTTTCACTTCTTCTTTGCCATTTCTGGATACTAATTTTGGAAAAACTGGGTTTCATTTGGGACTACAATGACAATATGCTATAACTAAGTTCAAAGAATGACATTATATGTTATTGTTGCTTAAGGAACAGCAATATTTATTCAAACAGAGTAGTTAAAGTGACAAATTTGTTCCATATTTAACTTACAGAATAGGGCTGGACAATATGACCAAAATGTATCACACAATGCAAATTTAACATTAGATCTATAAATAATACAATATCAATATATGTTTTTAACACAACATTTTCTGATTATATTCACTTTCTTACACTGACTTTCTGATATTTGTAGTTTTTTATAATTTATATAATTATTGAAAATGTGTCTCATTGATCAGTACTTAGATAAATGACACCTATTGTCCAGCCCTGCTCCAAAGAGCTATGGCAAAGGTCAGGGGAACACAGGGCTGAATGACATGGGCTTCAGTGGAGAAAACAAAAAATGGAACCAGTCCCTAAACAAGTTTTTTTTTTCATCATCCCAAAAGGACGATTAAGCAGTCAAGATGTTAAGTAAAAGCTCTTACGGGTGAATCTGCATGCAATTCTCTCAGTACACACAACACATCTGTATGAAAGCAGCTTACATGTACGCAACTGAATGCACAATCACAATCAACAATCGTTTTCTCAGCCTGAACGAAATGATTGACAAAGCCTGTTTTTCCTCCAGACTGGAATTCATAATAATAAAGACTTAGAATAAAAACTAAGTGATTGTGCTTTTATAACCAAAGTAGGACAAATAATACAAAGACAAGATGTACATCACTTATAAAACATTAACACTGTTATATAAAATTTGAATTCGAAGCACTTCTGTGGCAGTAAACAATTTCAGGAATTTACAAGATGGCTGGTAATGAACTGGATATCAATTACAGGAAAAAAGAACAAGACAACTGACAAGCAAAGATCAGGTACGGCGCCGCATCGAGCAGACGCCACGGACGATGTTTGTGTAGACACTCACGGTCGCCATTAAATGTGCATTCATGTTGCTTTACTGAGGGGAAACCAGCAGTGGACTCCTGCAGGCCGGCACCCGAAAAGCAAACTAATTGAAGTCCACAGGCTCAAACATGAGGGCACTTTTTTCTTTTTTTTTCAACACCAAATGAGAAATTCGAAGTATAAAACAATAGCATGTATTGTGCAGTATTTCTAAAGTCTTTTTTCCATCCTTTAATGGTCAAAGTCCTTCGTCTGAAGCAACGGTAGGTTTTCTTTTTTGTGCTCGGTTTGCTTCTTAGCTTTTGAGGAACTGTGGAAAGAAAATATTGTCATTTATTTTTCTCTCCTTAAATCAAAGATATTAAAATAAACATGGTAACACTTTATATAGCAGCGTGGGTCTATTTACATACTTAGACTAGAATTTAGTATTCTGTGTCTTGGTATGCACCACATATACCAAAGCAAATTCCTTGTATGTGTAAAGATACATGGTAATAAAACTGATTATGATTATGATACATTCTCAACTTCTTGTAGCGCTGTATAATTTTACTCATGAATATATGTTATAATTATAACATTATAAAGCATTTACTAATTACGTATAAGGTCAAGTATCATACAACTTAATAATTGCTGTTACTACAATCATTTTGCAAGGATCGTGCATTGAAATCAACTTGGTTGTAAAACATTATAATATTTATATAATGCATTTTTATCATAATTGTTTTGCTTAGAGTAAAGCTTAATGTAGCTGAATAAAATATTACTTAATCTATGCATACAAAACAGGGTAAAATAAATTGTATTCGACTTATTTATGACTACTTCTAGTGATTAAAAACAACTTGTGATGTATTTAACGTGCCTTTACCCCTGGGATGTAATTTCTTCACTTAAAGCACTCAATGACCACTTACTGTAACTAATAATCCCATTATAAGGCATTATAAAAGTGATTCATGTATATAAAAACATTATAATGTTTTACAACTATTGCTAATTATAAAACGCTAATCCTTGCGAAAAAAGTACGCCGTATATTTACCTCCTTTCTCACACAGCCAGAATATTTTTATTATTATTTAAATAACAATATTATTTTAAAGAGGATTTAATTTATGAATACTTAAAGTAGCAGCAGTCTGGTATATCAAAAGGGAATATCAAAACACTGCTTTGAATAACAAACTGTAGAATGCCGTAATCAGCCAATCAGAATTGAGTATTGTTTTATACAGTAGTCGTGTATTAAAAGATTAGAATGTGTTACAACAATGGGAATTTAAATACAGAAAATATCAGTGAGTAACTAGAAATTATGAGTTTATAAGTCTGTCTAAAATGCTTAATTTTGTGTTATGATTATTGTCATAGAGCATTTTAGTGCTTATAACTAAAAGGGATGGAAAGTGTTACAAAAAACACATATATTTGGGAAGAGGAACACCAAATAACTAGCAAGGAATTTGAGATTTAGAGCTTCGAGTTCTTTGATTTACCTCCTCCACCTGTCCTCCCTGTTTGGTCCTTGAGTCTCCACATGACATAAAGCTGGATGGATGAGTATCATCAGGCTCCCTCTGAGCATGACCTGAGGGGAAAGCAGGACGACTGTACAGTAGGACATCCCCTAATTCTGTAGGAGACACAAGAAAAAAACCTTTTAGTCAGCTAGTCCACTCAATCACCTTTAAAAAAAGTGCAATAAAATCCATCCAGTGCCTGAGTGCTGTCGGCTCTTGCTGCTTCCTTTTCCTCCGGGTGGAGTCTTGTGCTTCTCCTGGCCCTCTGCAGCCTCCCTGACCCTGTGAGTCCCAGTGCTGCCCCTCCGCCCCCGGGCATCCCCAGAGCCCACCCGGGGCAGCGTGGCGCCCCTCGCTATATAGTCGCCGTGGGACATCTGGCTGGAAAAACTCAGAGGCGTGCAGGAGTCTGGGGACACAGAGATCCAAATGTTAGTGAGTTATTAGGAGATAAACAGGATTAAGTCTCTGACTTCATTATTGGTTCCATGTTTACCATCATTGAAGACATCTTTGGGTTGGTAGTCCTGGTGACCAGACTGGTTCTGTTTATGTCTTCTGGGTCTTTTATGTGTTATTGCAGGACTCATGTTGCTGTCTGTGGACATGGGGCTGCTGGGCCGCTGGGGGCGCCGGCCTGAAGTCATCACAAAGTCATATCACACATATTATATGTTTATTTAATAGCAAATATAATGTACCAGAATACTCAAATATTAGACAGGATTCCATATTTTTTTATGTTGTCATTCTACTGTAATTGTAATCTGATAGAGAAAAACTATGATGTCACTACAGAAAATAATCCAGGGATCACCAGTTATCGAAATAAATCATCTGAGAATCATGAATGTCTCGACACCATGTGATACTTGTCAAACAAGTGTACATCTTTTCAATACAGAAGTTGCTTGATATTTTTGTCTGGAACAAATTATGCCCTATACGAAAATGTAGCTAATATGTTTAAAGACAAATAAAACCCTGTCCTCCCCAGAAGCCCTCTCACCTGACTCCTCTGGATATCGGCCCATGCGCAGGCCGACGTTTTCCCGCAAAGACAACGCCGCCTGGTTGAAATCTCCGTCTGTGAAGAAGGACCCCTCCGAGGTGCTGACAACACTGGACCTGCCAGATGAGATGTTGTCTTCGGATGCTGAGCCCCAGCTGTTTACCATGGACCCTGTGACCGACCTGTCCAGATCCCCGGTGCTGGAGGCGGGGGTCTGCTCCAGCCCGTGGAGGAGCAGCTTGTGTGGAGAGGGGGGGTGCAGCTGGTGTTTGTGCTTCTGCTGGTTGTGGTGTTGGCTGTAGTGACTTTCAGCGGGCTCTGCGTCTGTCTCCTCATCTGCCTCCTCTTCACTTTCTTCCTCCTCCTGCCCATCGGTGTCCATGCAGAAGGGGATGGAGCTGTAGGTGTGTGACGGGGACAGAGGCCGAGCGTGGCTGCTGAGGTGTTGGCTGGGAAATGCAAATAACAAATTAGAGTTACAACAAAAAAATGTGTAGCGGATGTTAAAAACGGTTGATTGCAATAAAAAATGCTGTCTCTCTGCCCCACTTTACAGCAGAAATAAACATGTTTCTACCCCTGGATGCAATAAAAATTATTCGGGATATAGTTAGATTCCACCTTCATGATTACGAATTGGTGAGTGAATTGTTTTATAACGCGACCCTTTTATTTATATTAGGTCTTAACGTTTTTGCATAAATTAGGGCGTGGTCACTTTGATTGACAGGTACGTGCCTCACTGTCAGCTAACAGCAACTTGTCCACTCTGCTAGGCTACAACGTTAGCTAGTTGTAGTTACTGTACTTGATATATATATATTAGGGCTGTCAAGTTAGCGCATTAATAACGCGTTAACGCGGAAAAAAATTAACGCCACTAATTATTTTAACGGGTTAACGCATGTGTATTTTTTGTCCTCGGCCGCCCCGTAGTTTCAGAGCGCATCGAGTTTAAAATACCATCTACAAGCTGATGCTGACAGCCCCGCTCCTGCCGCCCGCTTGTGGCAGACCACACTTCCACGCTCACCGGCAGGCCCGGACTGGCCATCGGGAGGACCGGGAGGGTGTGGCGCGAGCGAGGCACACCTTACGTGTTGTTGTTGTAGTTAGCATCTGGTGCTAGCTAGCTGCGCTAACGGATATAAGGAGCTGTTTCAATGAAAACAGAGGAGCTACATTTCGCCGACAACTGCGCAGAGCACTTGACTTTATGCAGGTAGCCAGACAGTGGGACATTGTACGAAAAGTCAGCACACTCAGCACGGATAGTGCGCGCAACATGATTGCAGCGTCCAGGCAGCTCCCGTTCGAGCATATATGCCTTGAGCTGCACATAGCGCCAACGATCCATCACAGTGTCTACACACACACACACACACACACACACACACACACACACACACACACACACACACACACACACACACACACACACACACACACACACACACACACACACACACACACACACACACACAGTATTGTATGAGAGAGGTTCTAGGTTGAATTGAGGCGAATATTTGTAATGTTCAGAGGTTGTTGTGTTTAATATTCATGAGAATATTAGTCATTGTTCAAATGATAATAAACAAACATATAAAGCATATGTGTCCACTCATACGTTGATAAGAGTATTAAAAACTTGAAAAATATCCCTCTAAGGTACATTTAGAACAGATAAAAAATGTGCGATTAATTTGCGATTAATCGCGATTAACTATGGACAATCATGCGATTAAATATTTTAATCGACTGACAGCCCTAATATATATATACAGTTTAGTTTATGATTCAGCCTTGGGTAAGACTTTTATAGTCTATGGCTATGACGCCCATAATGCTAAACGGGAGCAAATGTTAAAAGGGGACCCAATTATCCCAGTGGTGGCCGCCGCCGGACGCACTGGAGATCAAGGAATGCAGCGAAACGCGGACTTGGTTCGCCTGCAGCCCGCTGCAGTATTAGCTAAAGAAATTATGTTGGACAAGTTTTATTAAGCTGAACATCGCCACAATTGTTCTGCTATGTATCGGTAGCCTACTTATTTTATTTTATTAACGTGTGAATGACAAGCATTAAGAATAACAAAAAATAGCTAATTCTCTTGCAGATTGTCTCGTTTGATTATGAATGTAACGTTTACATCGTGGAACTACACTGTTTTATCAAAACCAAAGTGCCACGCAGTAACTTGGTATGCATGTATTTCAGCAGGAAATGTGCAACGTAGATGACATTTACCAACACAGACTATAGAAATATTTGTAAAAGTTGTTCATGCGTTATTAACAGGGGTTAACTTTTTTGCCCTGGTTCTCAAAGGAGCACCTGGAGATGTTGCTTGGTGCGTATCCTTAAAATGAAATAAACCGGACCTTTTGAGGGGTACTTGACTTTATGAACGGGGGGGGGGGGGGGGGGGGGGGGGGGGCGAACAGTAATCATGAACTGTTCCCCGGAGCCTCGCAGCAGAGTTACTGTGCGGAGCGCATAAAGCAGACCCTTCACGCGATAGCGAGGGGTAGAGCGAGGGATCACAGAGAAAGGCAGGCCCTGTGACCTATGAAATTCTCTGTCCTGATAAAAGATAAAAAGTGCAAACAGTTGTTGCATGTAAACCTTTTAAAAGAATATCATGACAGGAAAAACCAGAAGGCAGATGGAGAACATGTTCTGATGATCCAAGATGTCCAGCTGGAAGAAGAGGATGCGTTGGAAGCAAAGGAGGCTGACATAGTGCCGTACAGAGAGAAGTGTAAACCCCAGGCCCCTCCGGAGCATCTGAGTTTGGGTCAGTGGCATCAACTGGGTGAGCTTAAACAATCTTTCCCAGCATTGTTCTCAGAAAAACCTGGACGCACCGATGTGATAAAGCATAACATTGTACTGAAGGACACTAAACCTGTTCGCCTGAGGCCTTACAGAATTCTTGAAAGAATGATGGAACCACTGAGGAAGGAGGTAGAGTTGAGGTTGGACATGGGAGTCATTCAACCATCTAGAAGTGAGTGGTCAAATCCTATAGTGCTTGTTCCTAAGAAAAACACCACTGAACCTCGGTTCTGCTCGGACATGAGGAAGCTGAACAGCATTTCCTGTTTTGATTCATACCCTATGCCACGTATTGACGAGCTACTGGAGAAGTTGGGGAAAGCTAAGTACATCACAGCTTTAGACCTCTGTAAAGGTTACTGGCAAGTGCCTCTTGAACCAGCCTGCAAAGAGTATACAGCTTTTCAGATTCCAGGAATGGGTTTGTTTCGTTACACTGTACTACCCTTTGGTCTTCATGGAGCGCCTGCAACCTTTCAAAGATTAATGGACATTGTTCTTAATGGTTGCACCAGGTTTGCAGCAGCCTACCTAGATGATGTGGTAATCTACAGTGAATCCTGGGAAGAACATCTGCAGCATCTTAGACCCCGTTTACACGAGGACGATACGGGTTGTATCCGCATAGTTTCTCTTGCGTATAGCCCTTTCGTTTACACGAGGCCGTAACAAAACGTTAGAAACGGCTCTGTGTGTACGCCCTATACGATCATTTTCTGATAACGATGAAATAGCCCCGCCTCCCTCTCCCCACGTCTCCTGCTCAGAGATCAGCTGCTGGGCTGTCAGAAGAGGGGGAGGAAAAGAGAGGCTCCGTTTATTATTCTTATCTTATTATATAGAGTCGTTAACAATTTGTTTTAAAGCTCAATAAATAACAAAGAAGACCTCTGACCAGCACTTTTCTAATTTTGTCCAGAAGATTTAAACTTTAACGGACATGTTGACCGGCGAAAACATTTTTTAACGGAAACTCTGCCGCACGGTTCCCTCGTCCCTTGGAAGAGGCGGAGAGGTGGGTGTTTTTCATCTGCTGGTGGACTACCGGAGAGATTTACAGCAGGAGCAGCGGAGAATAAACAGAAGGGCAACCATGGCAACCATGCTCCGGGGTCTTCTTCGCTGCTTTTGGTGTATTTTGTGGCAGCAGCAGCGCCACTTACAGGCCCGGCATATGTACTACAGCGTTTCCAGCGTTTCCAGCGGTCTCTTGTGAACGGACACGTTAAATGAATCGAATGCGTGTGAACGGAATACTTTTTTGAAAACGCATACGGTGCGTAAACGCAAACGTTCCCGTGTAAATGGGGTCTTAAAGCTGTGTTGGGCAAGATACAGGAAGCCGGGCTAACCCTGAATGCCAACATTCGTGGGCAAGGAAGGTTTAATCTGGTCACCGGAGCTGGGATAAAAAAAGCTAAAAAGGACTACACATTATAAATACATATGTAAAAAAAGTGTCAAATAAAATAAAACAATAAAATATAATAAATACAAATAACATGATTGGATGTATTCTCAGTAAAGGTATAATCTGGTTACCTAAGGTGCTGGGCTCCATTGTGCAGGCCGTTGCTCAGGTCTCCCTGTGTGTTGGGGGGGTGACTGTAAGACACGACGGGGGGAGACGAGGCCGCCCCTCTAACTGGTGGAGTAGGGCAGCCTTCAATTCTCCCGTCTGGATCAAAACTGATAAGAAAAGGACAACTGACGTGAGGTAATGGCTAAAGGAATGAGGGGTGCTGGCAGTCCCCACACATTAGTCACAGCCCATTACACATCAGTGCAAATCCCTTGGAATGGCAATCGCAACACACATTTCCATCATAGGGAAAAAAAACGTACGAAGAAGAACAATAAGCTTCCTGCACCATCTGTTTTGTTATTGCAGAATTGCTGCATCTGTTAGAAGGCCTCTGTTCATTGTGGGTTTTATGAAGTCATTTCTGTGATATAAAACCTGATGTCGTAGTAAACCGTCTGAGAATGACGAGCCTTAATTGTGAAATGTGTTCTTTGGTTACGACAATAAAGACGTGTTTTGACAGAAGATTTGCATGTGTTTAGAGCATAGGGTCTGATAACTTCAGCATTGAGGGATTTCTGCAGGTTAAAACAAGTAATGGACTTTTTAAGACCATGTAGAATACAATTTAACACATGTATTTACAGTCATACTGGCAAAAGTATGAAGGGTTCAAGTAGCCTATGAATGGAAATACAACACTGAATTGCTTTTTGATTACTACATGGATTGATTGACATTCAAAAATATGTAATAATAAAATATAACAGCAGTCTAAACCAGCTGTATCTCAAACAAAAATCTTAAGAAGCTGGTATGGGTAGCATGATAGTCACCATGGAGATAGTGGCACTCTAGAGTAGTAGAGTAGAGTAATTGTGGAAAACATGTATTCACATTTATTTCAGCCAATCAAAAAAGGAATACAATTCCAAAAAACCCTTGAGTATGTGCAGTGAACAGTAGATCATTCATTTAAAGACCTACAGTAGAACAACTGTATTTAAGAAAATGTAGTCCTAGATTCGGGATTGGGGTGGAGAGAAACTCACTCTTAAGGGCACTTTTGGATTGTAGCCTTTGCAAACCATTTACATGCACTGAAACCTATATAAAACATTGCAGGAAAGGGAAACCCCAAAAAGCACAATAGGGCCTCTTTAAAGTGTACCATTGCAGCTAATTCAATATTCAAGAAACTATTCTAAATTAGTTGAGAAATCGATTTGTAAATGTCAGAATATGTTTTATACCTTCTCAATAATGGAGATTTCCTGCTTTTAATTACATATAAAAGTGAACATCTTTACATTTTGGACTGACAAAACAAGACAGAAAGTGTGTATGGTACAGAACTACAGTGTGTCCTTCCTCATTCGTACCTCCTCTCCATGGGTAGGCTGTACTCGTCGCAGTCCCAGGCATTAGCATGTGGAGGAGGCGGGGCTTCTCCCCAGCTCACTGCATTATGTTTCTGGATTTTTGGGGCCCGCGTTCCTTTCTTTTGATTCTGACTCCCTGAGATGTGAGAAGAAGACATCAAAGTAAAAAACAGACCTATGTCTCGCCTCATTAAAATTCACCAGAGTGCCAGGTAGCCGTTGGCCTTACCCGCGGTGCTGTTGCTGCCTCTGTCGGAGCTTTGGTGCGAGCCGCCTGTGCTGTGATCACGGCTCTGGTTGTAGGGGATAGTCTTAGGATGGATCATTCCTTCACTTCCTTGCAGATGATCTAAAGAAGCAAGAACCATTTTAAACCTCTTTTTTTTAGCATTAAAATGACTTCAAATACATCCAACGTGACCCCGTTTACCTTTATTAAGCAGGTTTTGCTCTATAATGTTGTACTGCATCTGTGCCATCATCTCCTTTGGTATTGGAGGAGGGTTGGGGGGCTGTTTCCAGCAGTGCATGTCCATAGGTTCAGCTAAAGCCCCCCCGGCAGCTGCTTTACTCTTGATGCTGGCCTGGATGAGCTGCGTGGTGGCGTAGGGGATGGGCTCGTACGTGGCCGCTGGGTCTCCTCCCGGGCTGGCGTAGCACAGGCTGGAGTTGTTGAACGTCTTGATTTCGTTGAGCTTGTTGGAGAGGTTCACGTCGCTGTAAATGGCCGTCTCAGGACCCAGCTGTTTGTTTTCAGGATGGCTTCCATAGTTAGCTATGCAGTCAGCTGAGGAGCACATGGACACAGGAAGTCACACAGCTGCAGCTTTGATGGAAGTGGATTTGAGTTTCAAAGACACACAGTACAGTATATCTTTATCTATATAACATAATCATACTGGCTGTAGATATACTTTTAGCAAACAAAAGCAAAGATAAGACAGTAAGATACATGTATTAATGCAATACTTGCAACTTTTTGTATTTCTCAAGTCTCAGTGACTGTTAAACTCATTACAAGATACATAACTGGGTGTGTACTAATAGGATAGTTGTACATCGGTAGCAATATCTCTGTTATTTATAAGTAAAACAAATGTAATGGTTTTTAGAAGATACACATTTAGATTTTTTGGATGAATCCCCAACCCTAAATTATTCATGTAGTTAGAACACATATGATGATATAGCCTATATTGTAGTTTATTTGCTTAAAAAGAGACAAAATGTACAAAAAACAAAAAAAGGAATATTAATTTATATATTATCAAATTTTCAAGAAATATCCCATTAATATCATTATAATGAATTATTTCAACAATGGTATCTTGAAAGCCCTTCTTTGATACTGTTCTGCTTTACCTTCCTCTGCAAAATAAATACAAATGTTTGTTTTAATGGAATTGAGTCTCCTGCGGTGAACTCTGACATGTGTTCAGTCTGGCACTGACCTGGGCGGCTGTATGTTGTCATGTTGCTGTCACTGGTGCCGTTGCCATTATTGCAGCAGTTGATGCTACAGTCCTTGTGATTGGCACATGCATTTGGCCAATTGTCAGGCAGCCACAGCTGGTTGAGAGGTTCCCCCATGCTGAGAAGGCCAGGTCTGCAACAAGGAGGACCACAGAGCTGTCAATCAAAACCTGCCCCTCTCATCATGTGTTGCTGATGAAGGAGCAGGGGGTGGATGCACAGGGTTTGGAGCAGGAAGACACCTCCCCCTAGTGTCTCCACAGTGTAAGTGCATTTATCCTGTGAGCCTTTTATATAACACAAAGGGACACAAATATCACTCACCTGCCCGCACCGCACGCTGATTCTCCTCTTTGATATGCCACTGCAAAGAGAAACAGAAAAAAATACATTCAACTTTGATGGGCTGTCAGGAAGAGGAAGTGCCAAAGGCAGAGGAGGTGAAGCCATGAAAGACATTCTGAGAAAGAAGCCAAAAGTATACACTTCAATACATGCCTCCATCAATAGGGCTCAGAGTCTGAGTCTGAGTCTGTGGTTTAATGTGCACCAACACAATGTAAAATAATTGCCTTCAACAACCTTCGCATGACGTATTCAGAAACAGTGTTTGAGACATGTTCTCCTCCGCACCCAGTAAATGTCAAACAACTACAAATTCTCTTAAAGAAAACACAACATATTTTCCTGATTTAATCAAAGCTTTCAACCTTGTGAGCAGGTGGGCTTGGCACAGTATCAGATGTATTATGAACAGCCAAACACACACTTCTATTAAACAGATGCATGGATATGTTTGTAATGCAATTAAGAAATGTATAGCTAACAACAGATGTTACCTGAGTTTCTGCATATTGTTACTCAATGTCTGCACTTGTGAGGCTTATTATTTAGTAGTTGAAGTATTTCAATGAGCCCACACCAAGGAAAGCTACTGTACTAATATTGTGCATTACCTTTTAAGTTCTGTAAATGTACACATTTGTTTTGTCTCTTTTGGAAAAAAGGAAATGCTGCCATTTGCTGATAAATGCAGTTTTTTGATTACTTGTAGCAATTTATTTATTTTAAACAAGTGCACTGCAGAATGAGTGGGGATCTACTTGATTCAACTGAGACAATGCAGACAATAATGGTGTTTAATACATGTCCATATACATTAGATTCAGCTAATGTGTGTTTAGTTTGGGAAATATTCATATCATTCATTATTAAATAGCTGTATGTTTATATTGTTTGGCCTTTGGCTGCCCTGCTCTCTAAATATGGCAATCCTATCTAGAAGGAACTATTTAATCACAGTAATTGTGGTATTTTATGTTGAGATGTTTGTAAAATCCCATCCATATGTTATTTTAGCATTGTGCAGTCTTAAATTGTGCTTCAACACCTTTCTATATGAAAATGAAGAAAATACGAGATTAAAGGGACACAGCACGTGTAATTATTTTAGGATATTTGAACTAAATAAAATAAAAAATAAAAAAATGCCAAACACTTATATAAATATCACAAACATTGGCTGAGAAATCACACTTTACGTACCTGTAGGTGTAAAGGTAAATGATGGCACTGCAGGGAGAGACAAAGACAGGAAATAATGAGCAGAATGATTTAACCATTACAGCAGCGATGTGCTGTTACTGACACTATGAGCTTTTGTCATGTCTAGGCATGCACTTGCTGCTTTGTGATGGACATTGTGGTTGTCAACAAACATTTAAATAACCACATGCCAGCTGCCTAACTGCTCCCTCTGAGTGACCAGGTGAAGGTTAATGGGGGGTGACAGGCATCCCGAGACAGAGGGGGAAAATAACGCTAGTGTTGTAGCAGCAGACATGGTAATGGCAGGTTGACAGGCCCGCGCCTCTAAGAACTGCGCTGCGTTCAGGAAATGACTCTCCACAAATGAGCGACTAAAGGTCAGCCTTTGACTGTCTGCGTAGTCCTGAATGCAGATGTGTTCTTTGTGTCAAAAGAAGATTAGCCCAGAGTCTTTTTCCCCCTTTGATGTGATCTGCTTATCATCTAAATGATTCCTTAATATCACTGAGATGAAACTGCTGTTTAGTGTTGTGTCATGTCTTGATCCCTTGTACAATCTTAACCACCTTCAAATGAAAGCACACAACAGCCAGAGACGGCAAAAGTACACACATCCTTTACTCAAGTAGAAGTACAGATACTTGTGTTTAAATATACTCTGGTAAAAGTAGAAGTACTGACTAAACTTCTTTACTCAAGTAAAAGAAAGAAGTATGAGTTTCGAAATGTATTTAAGTAAAAAGTACCCATAACTACCAACATATTTATAGAGTAACTGACCTCCCTTTATATTAATAGAACAATAATGTCATTGTTAGCTAATGAATGTTTCCATGCTGAACAACGGCAACATGACAACGTTTTCATTGGTCCCTCTTCTTTAGAGAAGACCAGGAAATGATGGATATACGGATCGTGTTCAAATCAATAGGCACACAATGACTCTAAATAATAATGATCACGCCACCAAACACAGATTAAAACTAAAGTAACCAGCCTGTTTGGAAAATGTAAGAAGTAGAAAGTACAGGCATTTGTGTTAAAAATGTAAGAAGTAAAAGTAAAAAGTCGTCAGAAAAATAAGTAGTGGAGTAAAGTACTGATACCAGAAAAATGCACTTAAGTACAGTAACAAAGTATTTGTACTCCACTACTTCCAACCTCTCACAACAGCAACATGATAACAATTTTTTGGACTTAATGGTTTGCATTTGTAACATACAGCCCTCTGAAACACACACACACACAGAAGAAGAGCACACACACCCTTGCGGATGCCGGTGTATGTGCTGCTGAGGCCACTTCTCTTCTTGCGGTGCCGGTAGAGCCACACACTGAAGATCATCAGCACCAGCCAGCAGGTGGCGCCAATGCCTGCGATAAAGGCCGGCTGCCTCACCACGTCTGAGATCTGAGACAACGTGTCCCTCTCCTCGCTGTCCATCATCTGGCCTGCAGAGTCTGACAGGAAGAGGAAACATCATGTGAGCACAAAAGCTACTTTAATAATGATGATAATGATTACCATGAAGCAGTGGTGGACAGAAACTCAAGTGCTGTACTTAATTATCATTTTGAGGTACTTTACTTGACTGTTTCCATTTCCTGCTTCTTTAGACTTCTTCTACTACATTACAGATGCCAATATTTTTGTTTTTATTCAAACACACGTATTTGATAACTTAAGTGAAGGGCTGCAAACGCTGCTATTTGAAAAAAACACTTTTTCAGAATTGCTTTATTGTAACTCTCTTTGTCCTTAAATAAGTTTAGTTTTTAGCTCGCTCTTTTTTTATTTTCTGTGTGTTAAGGTTTCTGTTTTTATGTGAAAAAGGTTGTAACTTAGTTTGAAAGCTATACAAATAAAGTTTATTATTATTCATTTTATTAGTATTTTTTATTAGTATTATAAGTTCAGAAAAAAAAAGCGTAGTAATACAAAATATAACGAATAAAATATATATTATTAAATGTTAAAAATAAAACGGGATAGGTCCCTTGGTGGCATTCACAAGCTACCCAGAGTTTATTTGAAAGTAAAAATTAAATAAAAACAGAAACCTTCACCTTAAAGGTGGGGTAGGTAAGTTTGAGAAACCGGCTCGAGATACACTTTTTGTTATATTCCATGGAATGCTCTTAACATCCCGATAGCAATGAATATCTTAAGTGCTTTGACAAAAAATCCATAACAAAATGTCATCTGTGGAAGCCGTAGTACTGTAAAAAGTACGACCAATCATTTTAGCCGGCCCGGCTAAAATAACTGGATGGCCTACCTGCCTGTCAGCCTTCCATCTGTGCACAAACTTATCTCGTGCCCTCATTGGTCATGTGCGCGTTCGTGTGTGTTGGAGGAGGGGCTCTGTAAGGAAGTGGCAGATTTTCTCCGGTTGTGTATTTTCAAATTCTAGTGCACTCGAGCTGGTTTCTCCGAAATTACCTACCCCACCTTTAACTAGCTGCAATACTAAAGTAAATAATACATTGAGGCATCAATAAGTATAATCCAATAATATTATAACATATATTATTATGAAATGGGCACTTCAGCGGGAAGAGTACTTTTGCTTACTACTTAGTACTTTTTGCTTAATTTACTGATACTAATGTACTTTAACTTCATAACATTTTTAAACCAATACTTGTAACAGAGAGTTTCTACTTTAAAGTATGTCTACTTTTACCTGTTACATGTTACAGAGCAGTTGTACACGGTTGTGTTAAGATTTGAGTACTCAGTCCACCACTAGCAGGATGCATAGTTTAAGATTTCTAGGTGTAGAAAATTGTTGATGCAGCAGCAAAGTGACAAGAGCATCGTTAAACAGCTGAAGAGAGGCAACAGCAGGGTAAGCACAATATACAGCTTTATTTTCTTTCCGTGAACACTGTATAGTACGTTTTCTCCCTGAGACTCTGTCGGTGTTTTTAGGTTTAGTCACTTGGGCTGTTTCTCACCTAATTGAAAAAAGGTGACATCACTCTTGACCCCAGCTCCAGCACCGTTGCTTGCTGCTACTTCTACGCTGTAGCGGATTCCCGGCGTGAGAGTGGAGATCAGCACGGAGAAGGTGGAGCCGTCCACAGACTGGTTCACATGATAGCGACTCTCATTACCCAGACACCAGATCTGTGGAGATAAAGTGACGAGAGGAGATGACGGTGATTGCCTGAGGGACACGTCTGATGACAAGAGCCTCACAAAGATACCATTTCCTTTATTTTTTCACCTGTATTACACATGATTCAGTGCATGAGTAACAGGAAAAGGCGGGGGGGGGGGGCTTAATTTCTAACCTTGTATTCCTGAATGATTCCAGCATCATCTCGCTCTCGAGGTGGTTTCCAAGCAACGAGGATGGCGCTCCCATTGGCATCACTCTTTGTCACTGTAACACCCTGGGGTGCTCTTCTCGGGGCTATGACAATAAAGTATACAGTTTACCATGCAGACAAAACCTCAGGTGGAGTCTGTTATTACATTTGAGTCATTAAAATAATGGTATACAATAGCAATAAGCAAATATATGTATCACTGCAGAGCATAAGTTCTTAAGTCACCTTCTTCCAGCGTCCGGACCACTTTCACCTCACTGTCGGCTCCCTGGAACTCATCGAAGAAGGGCCGCACTTTGAACTCGTAGATGGACCCTCTCTTCAGCTGACCGAGCACCACCCCCTCCTCCCGGGGGGCGTGGACCTCCAGAACGCTCCACTGCCCCTCCGGCTGCCCGTGCTCAGCGGACGCCCTGTACAGCACCTTGTAGCCCTGGATGTACGGGGACTGCTGCTCGACCTAGTGGAGAAGTTAAAAATAGAACAGCATGAAGCTTCAGAAATATCACACAATGTGCACAGATGAAAGAAGTACTCAGATAGTTATGTTAAAGAAGCCACACTGTAGAAATAATGGTAACAATACTAATAAAGCTTTATTTTTATAGCTCTTTTCATACACTTGGTGCAGCTCAAAGTGCTATAACAACATGGCACACAACACAAATTAAAACAGGAAAGAAGAAATCTAATTCAGGTCAAATGTTTTTTTCACACATGCAGCATCATAATGTAAACTAGAGAGTGCAATTCCTGAAGAAATTGCTAGTGGGAATGCTTTATGCTGAAAAGCTGACGCTAAACTGCTATGCTGAAATGTAATGTGTAAGAAGAAAGTGAAGAATTTAGATTGAAATGATACATGAACACTGGGGGCTTGAATGTGTGATGAGAGAAGAAAAGAAAGTAAAAAGGCTTGGAAAAGCAGCAGAATATTTGAAGTACAAACTTTTGAACTAACTTGATGGCGAATGATCTGTCGCCATGCCAACGGCATTTGATGACATCCCATAATACGCTTAGATGCATTGATGGCTACATCGTTACCAAACCTGTGAAGTTTTGGGCCGTTTGGAGCATTTTCACTGAAGTTATGAGAAAACCTTGTTTCATGGCGAGCATTGTGTTGCCATGGCAACGGCATTTGAAGAAATCTCAAAACTGTCCCGTAGATGTCTTCACGGCTGGACTGTTAGCACACATGTGAAGTTTGAGCACTTTTTGAACATTTTCATAGGAGTTCATGTATAGCGACATCGTCTTTTATGGCGAGGGATGCGTTTCCATGGAAACGGCATATGATGACACCCCATAATTGACGTAGAGCTGTTGAGGGCAGGACCATTAACCATTATCTGAAGTCTGCTGCTCTGAGCATGTCAGTTGGAGTTATGACATCATCGTGTTCCATGACACAGGTGTTTATATTTGAGCTAACGACGTGTCCAGAGATCAAAGGTTTCCATGGTGATGTGCAGTAATCAGTGAGAGGAGAGCATTTTCATTGTTCTGAATGAGAGATAAACCTCTTACATGTGAACGTTTTGTTGAAGAACCGTAACAGATATCGGTGAAATTTCAAAGTGTGAAGCATGTCAAGGAACTTGAGCATCTGAAGTGTACTTTTTGTGTACTTTTGGGTTAATAATGTGGCCTTTTTGGCAGATTAACTAAAGGTGTGCGGCTGCTGTGGTGGGGATCGATGTGGCTGAATTTACAATGGGGTTTAATGGAGACATGTTGAAAGTTTCTGTCACTTCATGCCCTCAAGAGGCATTTTGTTTAATTATTTTGCTTAATCTTTTTTCAGTTTTCAAGCTACGAGATGTTTTCCTACGTTTCTCATGAAAAACTATGTCTCAGGAATGTAGGGTTTGGGAATTATGGCAGGTTTAAAAGAAAATATGAAGGCAAAATTAAATCTGTCCTCCACTCTAGCTGTGACATCACGCACTCTAAAATCTGAAGAAGGCCTCTTTACCAAGGTCTGAACAATGTTTAATATCTGTAAAAGTAAGAATCAGATTTAAAAGTTGTGTTACACGAATAATGTCAGAAAGATGTGTCACATTTTAAAGTTGCAATGAGGTTTCTGAGTGAAAGTATGAAGGAGCAGTTAGCAGTTGAAGAAGGAGCAGTTAGCAGTTGAAGTTGCATGAAGATTGTTGAAGTCTGAAGAGTTTCTCCATTGACTTCCATGTTAAAAATGGGATGAATTATGGGATGCATCTCTGGAATTATGAAAGTTATGAATGATAAAAGTAATAGCCATCGATTCCCGACCGAGCTGAACGTTTTGATGTTTGAACGGAGTTTCTGCGATGTTCAATGTGGGAGAAGAAGAGGCGCAAAATAACCCGGCGGAATAATAAAGAATTGTGTGCGTAGCATAACAGATAGTTGGAATGCTGTATCAGCATTCCCACTAAATAACCTACAGTACAGTGAACATAATAGAACCAAAACCAGGGATTGACATTAAATATTTAGAAGTTCACATATTTTCTTGTCAAAGACTTGTATTTACATAACATAGAGTGGGAAGCTTCCCCATTATGTAGGAATTATATAAATAATTCAAATAAATGTGGCAAAGGCTCAAATGTATTGAACAACACATTTGTAACAGGTTTATTAATTGACCAAAAAATATGAACAGTTGGAAGATTGAAAATGGGATTATTATTATTAGGATTATTTGTAGGTCATTGAAAAGTAGAATCATTTAGAAAGATGTGAACATTGAAGTTTCTATTTTAGAAAAGCTGACACTGTAGTGCATCGCTGGTTTTAAAAGTGATTTATAAGAGTCATGTTTAAAGATGTGCAATACTTAAAACGTTTATAAAGATCCTCTGAGTGTGTGTCATTAGTTAGCTGATAAAATGTTAGGGATAAATACCTTGACATATTGACTACAAGAGTTGAAGTCTGAAGAGTTCTCCATTGACTTCCATGTTAAAAATGTGATGTATTATGGGATGTATCTCTGGAATTATGAAAGTTATGAATGATAAAAGTAATAGCCATTGATTCCTGAACGAGCTGAACGTTTTGATGTTCGAACGGAGTTTCTGCGATGTTCAATGTGGGAGAAGAAGCAGCGCAAAATAACCCGGCGGAATAATAAAGAATTGTGTGCGTAGCATAACAGATACTGTAGTTGGAATGCTGTGTCAGCATTCCCACTAAATTAAGAGGGGAAAGGGTATGATAATAAAATAAATAATGATCCAAAAGTTGACGACCTTCTCAGTAAAACAAATGCAGACATGAGACAAAATGAATAAATACAATAAAATATAAAAAACTATCAAATAAATAAAATAAAACAGTATAAAAAAGTATATACTGTTGTACTGTTGGACTGATAAAGGTCCTTAGAATCTATATTAATAAACAGAAATGATGATTTGTGTTCATAACTATGGTGGTGCAGCTGTAAAATTAGGAGCTTTATTTACCTATAGTGCCTGGATAGCTTGTGAACTTCACTAAGGGTTAAATAAAGTGTTGTCTTAACCAAATATAATACATATTGAATTATTTGATGATCATATTTTGTTTTATTGATCTGAAGCTTAAACTTTAAAGTAACAATATCTGACAGATAATGGATATAAAAGAACATTATTTGCATCTGAGTTGTAGTGGAGTAGAAGTAGCAGATAATGAAAATGAGTAAATAACTTATAATGTAACTTAGGGTTGAACAGTACTTGGGTAAATGAACTGTAAACATGTAAAAGTCATAGTGTGAATGTACTGTATTACAAACTAAACTAAACAATTGTATTTGTAATGCAATTTAATCTGCATGTTTGTTAAAACAATATGTAGAAGGTTAGCTCCTTATCTTCAATAAGTGAAAATCCCGCAGGAATTATCTTTTTAAGCGAAGTTCATTCCTTTTGCCTTCAGGTTGCTATGGATGAATATTTCTGCATGTCTGTGAATCCTCAATGCAAACCACAATATGAGGTCATTAATAGTTCCTTCTCAACATAGCTCTGGTAAAAATCAAGCTAGGAGAGGAGTAAGCACTTTCCATTTTGAAACCGCACAAAGAATGCTTTAAGGGATTATTGTGGAGGCATAGGCACATCCAAACACACTTCATCAATCTCGAAAAATGCTGCAAATACAGTACATTCCTGTGTTTGGAAAAAGCATCAGACCAAAGATGGATGTGCTTCTCTGTGCAGCGGGGTTTATTCTCAGCTAATACATGTAATTTCAGACTAAAAGTAAATATTTTAGCACTTCACTTCTCTTTATCCCAAAGCGCTGTCCGCTCATGATCCTCAGATCTCTACGTTTCACTACATCTCTGTTGGAAGTATATTTTCTCATTTATCATTGACAGCACACTTCTTTATGTTGCCTAGGATAATAAGGGGAAACCCATTAGATAGTGTAAGTGTGCTTTATAAGAATCTCTAAGTAAAAAATTGTTTTCTGATTATCGTCTACTCGATAAGTCATTGCAAGGAAAAATAATGGAAATGATTGAAAGTCAATCCATCATAAAATAATTGTTCATGCAAAATGCAGTTTCCCTCCCCTGAAATATTGAATTTTCATTTTTTTCATTTTTAATATCATATAAAATTGAATCTCTTGGGATTTTTTTTAAAATGACAAGACTTCGAAACACATTTAAAGCCATTTTTGCTATTTTCTGCAATAGTTTTAGACCAAACGATTAATTGATTAATCCAGAAAATATCGGGCATATTAAAAAATAATGACAAATGATCCTTTATTCAGCACATGCCGTCCGGTTTTATTTTCAAAAGCTAACCCTTTGGCTTTAATATAATTTGCTATCATGAAGGTTTTGTTGACATTAACTGGGATTTGAACATTTGACCCTTTCCCATTCATCCTAACTCTGACGTAGAGTACATGTAGAACAACATATGGACTGTACTGCCCCCTTACCGACCACTGCACCCTGACAGCAGAAGAGGAGAGGACGGTTGGTGTGTGCAGGTGGATTACCACGTCACCCAGCTCCCTCTGGATGTGACGGTGATCCACTCCCTGCATGGTGGATGTGCTGTCTGTTGGCACAAAAGAGAGGAAAAAAAGAAGAAGTAAATAGCAACAATGATGCATTCAGGCGAACTGAAATTGGAAGGAAAAAGCAATGAAAAGCTCAAACTGACCCTGTGTTCTGATGGAGTCGGAGATTGGGCTGGGGTCGCTGAGGCCGTAAGCATTCACCGCTCTGACCATGAAGAGGTAGACAGTCGCAGGCTTCAGGTTCCTCAGCACAAAGGTCTGGGTATTTATATGCTCAGCTAGGGTCACCCATCTGCTGCCCGACGTATAACTGCAGGGAGAGGAAGACATGACATCAGGAAGGAGAGTTTCATAAACCTTCATAGATGTCTATACACTGAAATACAGGAAATAATAATAAGTTAAACCTAATATTTTTGCTTTCAACTAACCTAATACAATCATGTGTAATTGTTGAGATAATACATTTCATTGAAGTCAACATTTCAGTTTTTTCAGTGTATAGTAAGTCGTTGAAATATGCTGGTAACACTTTCTGAAACGCATGTCTATTAAGCATTATAAACACAAACTTACAGTGTAATGCACTAGAAACCTATAAGCCCTCATAAATATTCATTATGCTTTATAACAATAATCACAACACATTAAAAAGCATTCTATAATGATTAAAACAAGTTCAAGTATCAGTAAGGAAGTAATACTTCATAGATGTCATTCACTAATTGTTTTTTGCGATGTGTATTACTCATAGTTGTTATACATTATAGTCTTTTACACATCCTGGTTGAATACTTGATCCTGATTGGTCAATTACGGTATTCTACAGTCTGTTATTTCTTCATAACAGACCACTGATATCAATAGACCTTTGCTATGGTTACAATGATGTTCTCTGGCAGCAAAGCACAGTGAGGGGAATATTTGTCTAAGGAGAAGCAAAAACAAATCAAAGTCAATATGATTAATCAAAATATAGATTTTTTTGTAGTTGGGTACAGCGAGCAGGTCATTATTGCTAAAATAACCCCTCCAGACTGAGAGCCATTAAATGACCCCTTTCTTATAATTCTATATAATGAATGATTACTATATGATATTTGCGGTATAATCATAAAATACATTAGAAGTTTGTTTATAACTCTTTGAATTATTCAGTATATTGATTATTGAACATATAACAACAAATATAATGCTTGACAATGTGTTACATGTTTATTGTAATAGCATGTTAAGTATCTACACATGCTTTAAACTATGATCATACAGTGCTATAAGCAGATTATATGTGTTTTTATAATGCATTTTATACATGGGTGTCATAGAGTGCTTCCCTTGTTAGATGTCATATAGAAGAAGTGAAAACATGCTTTATACTACATATATCTAACCTGAATGCCTCGATGAGGTAAGATGTAGGTTTCGCGCCATTATTGGTGTCCGATTTCCACGACAGAGTCACAGAAGTGCGGCTGATGTCAGTCACCTCAGGTTTGGATGGAGCACTGGGAATTAGGCTGGGGTCAAACGGCTCACTGGACTGAACAACAACTCCAAACTCTGCCGCAGAGAAACCAACAAATCAATAAAAGTACACCACCTCAGGACTATTAGCATGGACCTCTATGTCTGGATTTGTGTGGCTTACCCTCCACCTGTAGGTACGCTGTCCAGGAGGCCTCTCCGTTGGGACTAGAAGCTACACAAGTGTAGAAGCCTGTATCTCCAAGCTGAGGATAGGAGGAAGATATTAGTGGGTAGAAGTGTGGTTGCTGTAACTGTAATACACTCACTGCTGTGTTACGCTTCCTACCTTAGAGTAACGAATCTCCAGAGATCCTGAGTCGGTAATGGACATGCGGGAGTCTGAAGGCGACATCACCAAACCATCCTTCTTCCAGTGGACTGTCGGGGGTGGAGAGTCAGCTGTCTGGCAGCCCAGGAGCACTGTGCTGTCCACCGCAATGGTCTGATTGACTGGGCCCTGTCTAATCACTGGAGGAGGGTGGTCTGACCCAGCTAATAAACAAGCAAACACAATAGGGAAATTAAAGAAGGACATTCGGCCACCGACACCATCACACAATTATAATGAATAGTAAATCATTTATTTTGAATACAACTGATATTTTAATGGACCCAAGCCAGTGGAAGAACAAGTATTACGGAGCCCCTAAAGGGACATGGAAAAAATGCGCACAAGAAACTAACCCGTTATCCCGACTTTTTTTTCGGAGAAAGTTACCGCTGCGCCAAGGAGGAAGTGGTGCACACAGGAGGAGACAACCATTTCATTGCAGACTGTTATGTTTACGTGGGGAAATGACAGTGGGGGGGGGGTGCTAGTGAACTGTCAACGTGGGGGGAGCCTCGCTGCGGGCTAACGGTGGACCTCTGTCGCCTGTCAGCGCAACTTCAATGATGACGTTTAAAAACATAAAAATGTAAGGGTGGTGCCGGCCGTCAGCGAACCGAGCCGGCCGTCAACGGCCCTTGACGACCGGCCGTTCTGTGATTCTCCAGATTCTACAGATGGCCAGTCCGCCCCACACACACCTCTACACACATCGAACTGCCCGATTACTTCCCCTTTTATTAGTTTTATGAAGGAGATGTCAGGTCACCAGGGTGCATGATGTGAGTCTGTTTGTGCTCTGCTCAGCTCCGCTCTGTGTGTGTGTGTTCTGAGTGTTTGTTTCCCTTTAAACCAGCTGCCGGCAGCAGGTACTCTGAGAGTCACAGACATTAATTCATAGATCAAAGCAGACTGGTTTACAGACTCTCCTGTTTTGCCAATCCGGTGCTTAAACAAATAGCTCTACACCCCTGGCCGAAATGTCCATAAAATAAGTCTGAGTTCGAAATATATCTCAAATAATGTAGGCCTATACACTGTCATTTCCCCACGTAAACATAACAGTCTGCAATGACATGGATGTCTCCTGTGTCCTCCACTTCCTCCTTGGCGCAGCGGTAACTTTCTAAAAAAAAAAAAAAGAAAGTCGGGATAACGGGTTAGTTTCTCGCGCGCACGACGAGATACTCACCCGTTATCCCGACTTTTTATCTATCTATTTTTATTTATTTTGTTCATGTCCCTTTAGGGGCTCCGTACTATATGATGCAATTTCGTTCTTTTTGTGTGTATAAATTGTATGTTGTACTGTGTTTGGTGTGTGTTATTTCATCTTATTTGCCAATGCCAAATACACATCTCCATTATATGTACATGTTACTGTATGGAGAATAAAGTATTACGACTCTGAATCTGAATCATTAATGTGTACATCTGCCTTTTGGTCAAATCGGATACTATAATATATGAAACATTACAAATAAAGTATATTGAAAAATGCCCACAATTACTCAAGTATTGTATTGGCCCAATATTATCTCTCAATGCAACAAAGCGGAAATGAAGTCACTCTCATTAAGAAACTAGAATTACAACTAGTAATTCAATTTTCATAAATGTTCGTCCATAATTTCATGACCTTAGCATTTTATCTTATGTGGGTGAAATTCTCATACTAATTAGCTTTTAAATTAATTGCCCAAACATGATGGTAAGGGCTTTGATCTTTGCCCACCAGAATATAATCAGTTAATTCGAATCCAAGTGGATATGTGTGCCAAATTCCCTGAAGAGGTTCCTGAGGTATCATGTTCATGAGAATTGGATGGGCGAACAGATGTATGTACAGTATGTACAGATGGAAGGAAAGCCTGAAAACCGGCACAAAGTCATGAAAAATGTGAGAAAGTATTAGGTGCCTAAAAAAGATCTATGGTATTTGAAGTGTTTCAAATCTAAAAATGTGATTTATATTCCCTACTGTATCAGATATCAAACTGCTATTTATCATTAATGTCTTTATTTAATGTCACACAGTGTTCCCTGCAAACACCAGCTATTAATATTGAACATATGTTTTATGTTTGTTGTATAACACACTCCAGCTACAACGTGTCTAAGGTTTTTTGGGGCCATGTTCAGGAAACTAAAAGCATCTGTTTGAGGTTACAGAAACATTGTGGTCATTGTAGGGATGTTATGGGTAAAGTCAGGTTATAGAAAGGGCTTTGTTTGCTTAATGCAGAGGAAACAAGGTCTCTCAACTGAACTCTATCCCATGATGCTGTCATTTCCTCTTCATACATGTTACCTTCTTCTCTGTTGTCTCAGCTCAGCTTTGACATGTGCCTCATAACTGCCTTCTCTGTTGTTGCATTACATCTCCTTCCCTGTTCCTGTCTCCATATCTACTCTCACCATCAACTAAAAGCAACATGCGAACAAAAAAAAACAGAATAGGGAATTTAAGTTCTTAAAAGATCAAAGCCATGAAGAGAGAGAAAGAAATAAAGTAGAAAAAGATGAAAGTAGAAAAAATGAAAATGCTGCCAAAAAAAAAGAAAAGACAGATAAGATGTGAAAGATATTGAAGGGAAAATTGGCAAAGAGGGAACAATGGGTTTATGTGGCCGTGCAGGCAGCGGAGTAAAAAGAAATCAACTTTTCCCCTCCAGCGGAGAGCAACTAATCGTTCATTCAGCAGTAGGTGCTGGAGCCGGTTCCAATCACAAAGGCAGAGCCCAACTAATAACAACCCCACTTAGATAACACAACTCTTTTCTCTCTCCCCCTCTGACATTTTAAAATCCTGTGCACGGGGGCAGGGGTTCTAGATAAATAAATACAAAAATCAGCGGAAAGAAAGGTGATGAAAACGCGCCTCGAAAACTGCTGCAGGTAATGTGGAGCAGTTATTTCCATACAAATGCACCACTCCAAATGGGGATGAGAGGAGTGTGGTGGGATGGAGAGAATTTGGGGGAGGGGAGAGTGGAGAGGAACATGTACAGGCTGAGAGTGCAGTGCTAGAGACCGCCGAGAAAAAACGACATAAAACATGACCCCATATTGATTTATTTCCATTACCTGTAGCAGGTTTTTCACTGAGTGGATGCTTCTCTTTTCCCACTGAGGCGGCTGCAGAAAACATCTCCAAAACAAGCATGCTTTATACATAATAGGGCTGCACTGAGAAGCTATAACTGTCTGTTTAAACCTGGAGCAATTACCTTTATTAATTTACCATATGTACATAGCACACTGTTACCCAAACACATGTAATCATTTTCACACAGGTTATTTTAATTGGGAGCTTGCAGGCTTTGCTGGCTGTGTGTAATTACTGGAATGGGCCTTCAAGCATATTTAAATTACTTTTTTTTTTTTTTATTATTAGCACAGCTATTTCATCACCTAGGATTTTGATGATAGGCCCTCATACCAGTTCTCATATAAAAGTAATTTAAAAAAGATATTACATGTCCATCTTGCAGTCCCAACTCACTAATAGTTGCAGTAGATTAGAACACAGCCTTTGTTGAATTAATAGAAAATAAAATTACAATTGATAATAGTATTTCTAGATATACATTGTTGTATTACATTACACAGTATATTATTTTGCTGTGCAGTATTTCAAATTGCATCCTGTTTTAGCCTGTTCTATTTGATATGGTTAGGTTTTTCTTTTTCCTACAATGAACTTGCCCCATCAGAGTACAGTATGTAGCCTGAATTACTCAATTGTAGTAGGTACAAATTGTGACTGATATTGGGTATTAAAATATAAGCAGTTTGTAGCTTAAATATGGCCTGTTATGCTTTTTGGGGTTTACACTTTCCTGAAATGTGTTATATAGGTTGTTGTGCATGTACAAGGTCTGCAAAGGCTAAAATCCCAAAGTTCCCTGCAGAGGGAGTTTCTCTCCCACCCACTCCCCCTCCGGGCCTGAAACGCCTCCATTGGACTCCTTTGTCTACTTCTTTGTAAACATCACTACATAACAGTCACGCTTCTATTGGCTAGCGATCCATTGCATTGTAAATGATTTGCTAAGGGGCGGGACATTTCCAACACATCTCTAAGCGGTTCACCAATCACACCAGAGATGGCCAGCTAACCAATCAGAGCAGTCTGGGCTCTGGTTTCAGACAGAGGGTGAAAAGAGGTGCTGCAGCACAGGCAGTATGAGAAAAAATAAAGAGCTTTTTGAACATTAAAGCATGGAGACATGTCACAGGAGAGGTACTACATACAAATATGAACCTGGAAATGAGCCACAAAGGGCCCCTTTAATATTTTTCCTTGACTTTTTTTTTGGACTAATCAACAAAACATCTGAATATTCTGTAGTAAGTGTGTTACACTCAACAATAATACGCTACCATTTTTAAATGTCTTTGTTTCCTTTGATGTCTTGTTGGAGTAACCTTTTTATTTCCATTGCCTAGACAACTAATGTGCAGATGACAATGAAGCCTTTGAATATTTTTCTATTTCCTCTTACCCTTTTTAGATTACATTTTGTTCAGTTGTAAATTAAGAAATTCTATTTTCACAGGTAAGATACACAAGGCCAGACAATCCTCAGACACAATCACCATGGAAACAGACTGTTTTGTGCCCCCCGGTTATTACCAAATACTACACCTTTAGTTAAGGAAGCCTAACACACCTCACACGCCCAACAAAGGAAAACTGCCACAGTAAAGAAGCCAAAAAACCAAACATTGAAGCTAAAAATCTGCCAAATAAAAGCACCCCCATCCCGTCTGCCCTCCATCACACTTTCCCTTTTACTCACAGTCTGTGACCTCCAGCAGTGCTTTGATTATGACACTCCCGGCGATGTTGAGAGCCTGGCAGCTGTAGAAGCCTCCATCAGAGCGCTGAACATCGGTGATGGTCAAACTGCCCATCTGGGACACAGACAGACGGCTATAGGGCTGCGGCGGATGGTTGGAGAAGAGCAGACTCTGGAGGGGCAAACAGAGAGTTAGATACACATTGGCTTTATTTGCTCTGTGTAGCTTTAGTGCAGGGGTCGTGTCCAAACTGTTTTCACCGAGGGCCACATACAGAAAAATATACGAAGAGCTGGGCCGCTCACGAGAGGTATATTGCCTCATAAGTTCAGTTATAAGTTAGAAAAATCAATCAAATGTAGGTAAATGATGCTTGTGAGTGTTGGCAGCTCATCCCTTAAAACAGAAGCCTCAGAGTGATTATAATAAGGAGAAATAGGAAGGGTGTATTTCAAGTCGTTATGTTAATAAGGGCTCATATCAACTAAGATATGTTAGAAAATATTTAATAGACTGAATTATTTGAAAAGTGGTCTTATTAATACATGAATACTGGTGTGTAATATATTTTTACATTTATATTTAAGAAGTACAATATAAGACAAGCACACGTTTCATTTGTGGGCCATATTCAATTATACTTTTTGAATTTGCTGAGGGCTGATTCAAAATGGTCCGCGGGCCGCATTTGGCCCCTGGGCCGTAGTTTGGACACCCCTGCTTCAGTGTGATGGGGGGGAATCTCACCTCACTGCCCTCCCTCTGCCAGAAGATAGCGGGCTGTGGGTTGCCAGTGGCCTCGCAGTGGAAGGTGACCGTCCTGCCCACCCCCACCACCTGGTTCCTGGGGTGGATGGCAAACGCTGGGGGCACTGCAGAGGAAATTAGGCGCTAATTACCTGGCAGCCTGACACATTTTCATCATTTAGATTTAGCATATTCAAGTATGCATGAAAAGCTAAAGGAATATAGTATATAGCAAAAACAGTCATTATTTACCTTTTTCATGAACAAACAGCACATATCTTTTAAAGAGGCCCTATTATGCTTTTTGGGGTTTTTCCCTTTTCCTGTATGTGTGCTATGTTTTTGTGCATGTAAATGGTCTGCAAAGGCTAAAATCCAAAAGTTTCCTCTAGAGGGAGTTTCTCTCCCAAACACTCCCCCCCTTTCCTGAAACGCTTCCATTGGACCACTTTTTACTTTCGTTATTACGTAACACTTGCTTCTATTGGCTAGTGCTCCAACACCTTGTAAGTGATAGGCTAAGGGACGGGACCTCTCTAAGCGGTGGACCAATCACAACAGAGCCCGCCAGCTAACCAATCACAGCAGACTGGGCTCTGGTTAGGGTTAGGGTACCCTAAAAAAATAAATAAAGAGCTTTTTGAACATTAAAGCATGGAGACATAGTAGAGGCACAAAAAAACTCAAATGAACCTGAAAATGAGCATAATAGGGCCCCTTTAATGTACCCACACATAAGATGAATTACATACTGTATTGATGGATGGAATAAGGACAATGACAGGAGCTCAATATTTCTTGTTGCTGTCTGGTGGTGGATGAGGGATGGATGACAACTTACCGGTGTTGACTACAAGGAAGAAACAAAAAAAGAACAATGTAATGAGTAATGTACATGGAGATGCAATGGCTTTCAACAGTATTAACACACGCTTGGAGATACAGCACAATGAAATTGGTATGGAAAACAGTATGAAGTTAGCAATATACTGTAGGGGTGCAAGTCAAAAGTGTATTCACTTACGTCTAAGAACATTTTTATTTTTTTATCCAAAATATATATATTTATTTTATTATATTAATTTCATTTCTGTTCATAGTGTTTTTCACAATATCCATTTTCTTTCATTTTTATTTAACCGTTCAAAAATAGAGGGGTAGAAGGAAATAAAAGAAGATGGATAATTTATTGATGATTAAGTATTAATATGATTCATCTATCTCCATTTCCTCCTAGATATACTGTATATAAAGGGCATGCATGATATGAGAACCATCCATATGCTCATACATTTTTTGAAATACTTTGAAAAAATAATGACCATAAAAGGAGAGGATGCTTTTAGAATCAAAAGTATAACGCCTTAAACTTCAAAAAACAGATGTCAAAGGACAAGACGTGCTGTTTAGCCCCTATTAGCCCCTGCAGACTGTGAGGTGTGAAAAGTACATGTAATTGCTGGTTTGAGTTACAGAGCCCGTCAGCCTCGAGGCGCATTTGGACACAAGATACAATCCCCTAACGAGGACATAAAACGGTGAGGGCAGAGTAACAAGCATTGGGTCCGGATGAAGTGAGCTGCTGGTGCTCTGTGAAGATTTGCTCCAGTAAATGTACTGGACAAACAAAGACACTTTTTAAGATGAGAAGTACTGTGCATCCTGACATCTGTGAACTAGATTTACAGCGAAATGAATGGCTAGCTAACCAGCTTGTTTTGGAACTGCTGCGGGAGGAAGACTGCGGTAATTGCTTAACATTTTTGGGTTCTGAGACTGTCTTTAAAAAAATGTAATCACGTGATCTTGCAGAAAAGCTGCTTAAGCACCCCTGTCTGAAAGGATGTGCATCATGTATAGGACTTTTTTTTTTTTTTTTTAAAGTTATCTAACAGACCCTGCCAGAATACAGATTGTTTAAACGAGTGCAACGCTGAGAAGTCATTTCATTTCAAACTTGGGACCTGTGCAAAGCTCCTTGGCCCACTCCATCTGTTTTAAATGGCAGCTGTTTAATACCAACCAAATGTTCTATGTCAGTAAAAATGATTTTGTGGTTACTATATTTATGATCGCGCCTGCCAGAGTTTTTTCTTTGTAATAAAACCATAAAACACACATTATCTTAGATAGCTCTGTTTCCTCATATGCCATGTATTCCATTCACTTCCAAAATCCGCTATGCTACCAACCCCCCCCCCCCCCAACTACTCGTTTTCTCAGGTTTTTGGAAGCAGAGGAAGACGATGCAATTAGAAGCATGTCATTTCCCAGCATGCATCCAACCTGCCCTTATCTTTAATTAAGTCCTAGTGCCCTCCCGGCCTATGTCACCCACTGTGTTACTGCCTTGTGTGTTGAAGTGTGTATATAATGCTGTATGTATGTTTGTGCAACTATGCAATGTGACTTGTTGCTCTTTCCTGATGCTGATTTATGGAATGAAGGGTGTCATTGTGGCGGGACCGCTCAGACAAAATTAATCCGTTTCCTGCGGCCACGCACACATTTACTTTGCATGCTCTTCTCGGTTTATTCAGGACATTACCATGAAATGTGTTGTAAACAAACTGCTGCAGTGTCCTATTCTGCTTTTTTTTTTTTAAAGAAATGCTACTATATGACCTCAGGCAAGGATGTTAAACAAACTGAAAAAACTAAAACAGAGATAATTCTGCCTCTATGCTGTCTTTTTTATTTAAAAAAACAGCAGCATAATATAACTTATTTTCCTCTTTTTTCATGCCATTTGGTTTCTGTGCTGACAGTGTTTTAATAAATGATCAAATAATTATTGATTTTGTTCATGTACTAGAATATAACAAGGAAATGCAGCACTTCATTTTGGTTTCAAATGTAACCTGAAACTATTATTGTTTTGGAGATCTGCAGTCTAATGTAGCAATGAATATTATTCTACCTATGTTTTAAGTAACTGTATAACTCTATATATTGTATGGGCTGTCATAATGTATGCAGTCTTATTTTCCTATTTTCTAATTTATTTGTGGTTCAGATAATAATCGAATAACCTTTTTTTGAAAGTTATCTCTTAAATTCAACACAAAACCATAAACGTATAATTGTTTTGGAAAATCGCAGCATTTCTTTAAGCACAACTGGGAACTGAGAGTCACTGCATGCTAATTTGTGACACTTCAAAGCAGGATTAGTTCTCCTGCTAAGCTAGAAGCAGCTGTGTTGCAAATACTTCATCCATGAAAAGGACATCTGAGAAAAAAGAGTGTGAACTGTGAATGAAAGAGAAGATGGGGCATTTAGATGACATCACATGTGAGGGTCGGGTTGTACTGACCGTGGACAGTGAGCGTGGCGGATGATTCAGACTTTCCAACCATGTTCTCCACCACACATGTGTACGAGCCCACGTCAGAATAGGTCACTTGGCGAACAATCAAGGTATGGTCCTCTTGGATTTCAGATCTGGAGGCGGGAGCGACACACACAATCAGGAGATAAAAGGAGAGGTTGGAATGCTGGGTTTGCATGGTGTGTTAATGTGTGTATAGAGGAGCCTTTGTGCATTACCGGCCCTTAGGCAGGTCAGAGTCGTCTTTCCTCCAGCGGACAGTGGGAACAGGGTCTCCTTGTACCACACAGTGGAACTCCACGCTCTCCTCCGCCAACGCCACCACACTGCTGGGCCGTTTCACAAAGGTTGGGCGCTCTGCAGAACACATGTCAATGCAGTGGTGGATGAAGTACCCAGATAATTTACTTCAGCAACAAGTTGTTAAATGTAAACATTATTAGTTATTAATTATAAGTAAAGTCCTGCATTGTGATCCTTTTAGGGATAGCATCAAAATGTATTAAAGGACTAAAAAGCATAAACGCTAATTCTCATGTGTGCTGTGTCAAACTGTATTGGTGTAATGAGATTGTAATATGGCTGAAAAATTGGTGTAAGAACGTTGTAATATTGGTTTTATATATTCGAATAGAGGGGTACAAATGGTGTAATATGTTTGTAATTTTGGTGTAATATGCGTGTCATTTTGGTGTTATAATGGTGTAATATGGGTGTAAAATATATCAAATATGGCTTTAGTAATATATAAATGAACACCATTTATGGGCAAAGGAATCACAGGAGAAACAGATTGTAAACTGGAAAATAAAAGTCTTGAAATGTGCCTATAGCCTAGATGCATTAGAAAATACACATATATTTCCAAAATATGTATATGTCCTTGCCAATGTAAGGGTTAATGTTGCAGGTAAAGGAATACCTATTTTGTTTAACCCTTGTATGGTGTTCGGGTCTGTGGGACCCGTTTTCATTATTTATCTAAAGAAAAATGATATGATTAATTCATTTTTCAAACACACACTCAATGGCCTTGGCTCATTTTCTGTGAAGAACATAAATCAGAACACATTTTCTGCCCCTGCCATTCCCGCACAAGGTTGCAACATTGTTGATAAATTCAAACATTGTTGATACATTCAAGCACTGACACCTGTCTGCTCTCACATTCCCACATTATGTCTTGCAGGAGCCAATCTTTTCAAACTATCCCAGCTGCACATTTGGGGCGGTACACAATCAATAAAGCTTCACCAGTTTGGGTCCTTATCACAACTGATCAGGATGGCCAAACGATTCTCTGCTCAGAGGGCCTTGTAAATGATTTTGGAAGAGAGAAAACCATTTGATGATGATGTAGAGGAAGGGGAAGAGGTTTCAGAATATGATGATCACATTTCTGAGAATTCTGAGTCTGACAGTGACTTTGAAGAAGAGGATGAGATTGAGTATCAGCTAGTTAAAAGAAAAAGACGAGCTACAGGTCCAGCCGGTCAGCAGCCAGCTCCAGGACCAGCCGGTCAGCGGGCAGGCTCCAGGACCAGCCGGTCAGCAGCCAGCTCCAGGACCAGCCGGTCAGCAGCCAGCTCCAGGACCAGCCGGTCAGCAGCCAGCTCCAGGACCAGCCGGTCAGCAGCCAGCTCCAGGACCAGCAGGTCAGCAGCCAGCTCCAGGACCAGCCGGTCAGCGGGCAGGCTCCAGGACCAGCCCGTCAGCAGCCAGCTCCAGGACCAGCCCGTCAGCAGCCAGCTCCAGGACCAGCCGGTCAGCAGCCAGCTCCAGGTCCAGCCCGTCAGCAGCCAGCTCCAGGACCAGCCCGTCAGCAGCCAGCTCCAGGACCAGCCGGTCAGCAGCCAGCTCCAGGACCAGCCAGATAGCAAGTGAAGAGATATGGATGTCAAAAAATTGTGAAATTGAATGGTCTTCTTGCACAAGAGATGAGCCACCTCGCATTGCTGCCAATGTGATAAAGATGCAACCAGGGCCAACACGGGCGGCAGTTACTCATGTGCAGGACATCAAGTCTTCTTTTGAGCTTTTCATAGCAGATTCCATCCAGGAACTTATTCTGGATTGCACTAATTTAGAAGGAAGGCGTGTTTTTGAAGAGAGGTGGAAGGAGATGGACCAAACCAATTGACATGCCTACTTTGGGGTTCTTTTCCTTGCTGGAGTTTTCAGGTCCAAAGGTGAATCCACAGAATCTCTGTGGGATGCAGAAACTGGCAGAGAACTTTTCCGTGCAACAATGTCTCTGGAAAACTTCCACATAATTTCAAGGATTATCTGCTTTGATAACAGAGACGGCAGACCAGCTCGACGACAGAGAGACAAGCTAGCTGCCATCAGGACGTTGTGGGACAAGTGGATGCACCGCCTCCCCCTGTTTTACAACCCTGGGCCTAATGTCACCATTGATGAGCATCTGATGTCATTTAGGGGCTTCTGCTCCTTTAGGCAGTATATACCAACTAAACCTGCAAAATCATGGGATAAAGATCTGGGCTGCCTGTGATGCCACTTCCTCATATGCTTGGAACTCACAAGTCTACACAGGGAAACCTGATGGAGGAGCTCCTGAGAAAAATCAAGGAATGAGAGTTGTCCTGGACATGACTCAAGGACTCAGTGGACACAACATCACATGCAACCATTTTTTTACATCGCACAAGCTGGGACAGGATCTCCTAAAGAGGAAGCTCACCATGATGGGAAGGATACGGAAAAACAAGTCTGAGCTCCCACCCCAACTGCTGATTTCAAAGAACAGGGCTGTCAAATGTTCCAAGTCTTTGTACACGGCTGACACGTCCCTGGTATCCTATGTGCCGAAGAAAGGCAAGAATGTGGTACTCATGAGTACACTGCACAGGGATGTGAGAATCTGTGGGCAAGAGCATCAAAAACCAGAGATCATCATGGATTATAATGCCACAAAAGGAGGGGTGGACAACATGGACAAGCTGGTGACTGCCAACAGTTGCAAAAGGAGGACCCTACGCTGGCCACTGGTGATTTTCTTTGATATCTTGGACATCTCAGCTTACAACGCCTTTGTCATCTGGATGGCAGTGAACCCAGAGTGGAACAGAGGGAAGCTGCAGAGGAGACACCTCTTTCTCGAGGAACTGGGAAAGGCACTGGTGAGACCTCAAATCCAGAGAAGGCAACATGTCCCGAGAACCCCAGCCTCTGCAGCCATCATGAGGAGGATTCAGGAGGAGAATGCTGGCGCCCCATCCACCCGACCTACAGAACCACCATCTGCAGAGCCTGAAGTAAGTGCGTAATGCTGTTGCAGTACATGTCTGCCTTGCGAGAGAGAGAGGTGATGGTAAAATTCCTGATCTTTTTATCTTTTCATTATTCTAGGTTGCCAGCAGCAACAAAAAGAAGCGCTGCGAAGTGTGCGGACTCAAGATGGATAGAAAAACCCAATATACATGCATCAAGTGCAAGAAGTACATATGCAACATACACACAGTAAAACTCTGCCCCACATGTGTTGTATAGGCTTGTAAGAAAATACAATGTGTTAGATGGGGCTGAAGTTCTGTCTAGCTTAACAGTTGGTGTTGTGTAAACTGACCAGAAAGGGTTACATTTCAAATGTTGTTCAAACAAATACAAATCTATAGTTATGAAAAACATTGCTTCTTTTGTACATTTTTGATTATAATTGATTTTTTTTTTTTTTTATCACATTTTATAAATAAACAAACAGAAAACGAGTGGCACTTTAATTCATTAATGTGATCTAACAAATGTAAAAGGGCAAATATCAACCATATATTGCTTGTAATTGAGATGAAGTAAACATCTGTTGAGTATTTTAACATAAAATAGTTTGATTGTGTTGAAACCCAAAAAGGCAGCGGGTCCACCAGACCCACGGACACTGGCTGAATAACCAAACATATGAACACCACACAAGGGTTCATTATATAAAGTGCTAGATAAGTTGTGAATTTCACCAAGGCATCAATAGAGGTTAATATAAACATATTATACTGCATAAAATATAATTTCCAATATCTTATCATTATTTATATGAATCTAAAATGTAAAAGTAACTAAAACAAAACAATACTTTTATTGGAATAAAAAAGAACAATATGTGCCTTTTAAATGTATTGGAGTAGTTGTAATACGTGGCAGAAAATGGAAATACTCAGGTAAAGTACAAGTACCCAAATAATAAATGTACTTAGTAACTGTCCACCACTGTATGAATGTTATCATTGTCATAATGTCGAAGTGCCTTCTATATTCCTACTCTTTTTTATGTTATCCTTGAACAGCTCAAATAATTCAGTATAAACATAATAAAATTGTTGTTCATTTTTCTTCCTCTTGGTGTAGTTACTGTACCTTGTCTAAACGTTACTGCACCCAGTGTAATAATGGAATGTATATTGTTTCGATTAGGGATTTCTATCGTTTTACAATAACATGCAGTTGTTGCAGGGAAATTATAGCAAAGTAATAACATTTACTTTGGAATTCACATATTGAATGTGAGCACAGTCAGTCGACTATCAAGTATGAACAGAAAACATTGATAATGTTTGTGTAACTGGCTCTTAGCTATCTTGTTTGTTTGTTTTTTAGCTCTAAGTACCAACTCTGCCTGCTCCCATGACTTTAACCGATTGAATGTTTAATACAAAGCCAAAGAAAATATCATCTAAAAAAAAAAAAAAAAAAAAACCTAGCAAACTATGGAAATCTACATATTGCAATTATCATAGAGTTGGGAGGCATAGAGTGATAATCATCCGTCGGTCTCCAAAGTCATTTATTATGCTCAACCTGTGGAACAATATTTTTCGACCCATTTCTGCATTCAGCGAGAATATTCTCACAGCCTTGAATGGCTCTATGAGACAACAGGCTACAGCTCCAAACCTCAACCAAGGTCATCTAACCATGTGATACTGATAAGAGTTATATTCTGATGGGAAATGTTGAGAAATAAGTGGTGGGGGGGGGTGGAGAATAGAGGTTAGAAAGAGGCGCTGGAGGTGGCATGCAGAGCTTTCTTCTTGAAAGGGGTTATAGAGTTGGAGCTACACTGAAAAAACTGAAACGCTGACTTTAATTAAATGTATTACAGTATGTCAATACATTTCACATAACTGTATTAGGTCAGTTGAAAGCAATAATATTAAGTTGAACCTAATATTTTTTTATTCAAACTTAATATTGTTGCTTTCAACGAAACTAATACAGTCATGTGAAATCTCTTGACATCATACATTCAATTAAAGTCAACGGTTCAGTTTTTTCAGTGTAGCAACGGTAGATTTTCAGCCCGTTTTTGGTGGAAAACCTCTCCAAAGCTGGCAGATTAGATGGTAGTGCTGCATAATCAATGTAATTAACAGCTTATTATACCCCCCGCATGTGAAAAAGCCTTTGCATAGCAGACTGGCAAACTGAGAGGGTACTTAGACTAAATAAAGCACTGCAACATTGTGAAAAGCAATCATATTTTACCTAGCACAGTGAGTTCAGCGATCTCACTCTCCCTCTCTCCCACCATGTTGGTTCCAACGCAGATGTACTTCCCCGCATCACTCTTCCTGGTGTTGGTGATCATCAGCTTGCCACTTCGGATCTAGGAAAAGGCACAAATAAATATGTTTTTGTGTATATCATCTATACTGTATGTGCACTGTGTTGGTGAGTTTCAGAGTGAGCTTGGCACTTTTATAATGTATGTAATAGTAGGGTGGTTAGAGAAACAATAATTGATACAGCAGACTAAAGCCATATTTTATAAATATATCCAAAATGCTTATGCGATGTAAAATAGGTGGACAAACGGCATATCTTAAAGTTGAAAAAAGGATAATAAATCTGAATATATTTCCTAGTTTACCGAGTGTGTGACGGTTTGAATTCCCTACGTTCTATATCTCAACATGTGACATTCATTTCATTTTTTTTAATGAAAACAATTAAATTAAACAACAAAGAAAAAGATAAAAACAAAAGTTGTCATCACATAATATTGCAGCGCCACCTAGACAAGCATTGAATACATAGATGTTACTGTACCTGAATTGTCAGCATAAATCTAAGTAATATTGTACCATGATTTTAGTTTTGTTATAATATCTTATTAAGGGGCCTCTGGTGATTACCAATAATAATATGGCCAACATTTATTTTTCTATAAATGAGTTAAGGTTAACTTCTGACCCCCAAATATAATCACATTACATTACATTTCATTTAGCTGACGCTTTTATCCAAAGCGACTTACAATAAGTGCATTCGACCAGGAAGATACAAACTAGAAGAAAACAGAATCATATAAGTACATCAGGTTTCATAGAGCCAAAACATTTCAAGTGCTACTCAACTAGCTTTAGATAAACCAGTCCTTTGTTAGTATATAAGTGCTTTGTTAGTAATTCTATCGCTCGAAGTGGAGTCGAAAGAGATGAGTTTTCAGTCTGCGCCGGAAGATGTGTAAGCTTTCTGCTGTCCTGATGTCAATGGGGAGCTCATTCCACCATTTTGGAGCCAGGATAGCAAACCGACGTGTTTTTGCTGATGGGAACTTGGGTCGTTTGGGTCGTTTGGCTGATGCAGAGCAGAGTGCACCTGCTGGGGTGTATGGTTTAACCATGTCCTGGATGTAGGAAGGGCCAGATCCATTCACAGCCACACCTTTGGCTATATGTCATTTTGAAATATAAATGTGTATGCGCTTGACGGCACAACACTAAGTAATACGTGTGTGCATCTGTATGCATCTCTGTATCTGAGGAATAATATTTGCACTGCCTTTCAAGCTGCACAGAAGGTCACCCATTACAAAATTACATAATTCATATCTAGTGCTACATTAGCACAGAACCCTGGGAACAAAGACACTGGCTCTTTGTAGAGACCTTCCTCAGATGTTCAGTCAGCTTTCTTTGCCTCTCCCAAACTTATCTGCACACACACACACATACACGAGCAGACTTTCCCACACAACAAAGAGGCGGCACATACAAAGATATATGCACTCCATACTGTTTTCAATCTTTTTCAAATCCTATCCACCAGACGCCTCTACAGACTAAGGATTTATAGTGCTTTCAGTGTCAGCAGGCATGATACTATAGCAGGTAAACACGGCAATGTGAAGATAAGGCAGCCATCCCCCGCACCCAGACATCTGAAACATTCCCCTAGCCATTCAATTAAACTTTCAACCTCCATATTATGGCTTAAAATCACTTTTCTCCTATACTCGCACTGAGCATGGGCATCCATCTATTCAAAGACACACACAGCATGCAATAGTTATTTAAGTTTTTTTCTTAACAGAGGTCAAAGGGCAAGGCTGCCTACAGTGCTGCGCCCGTGAAGCAGGCAGGGGAGTGAGCGTCATGGCAGAGAGCACCTGGTCTGGTGAGCACTCTCCACTCACCACGTAGACTACATCATTAAATAGCTATACTGCAGGGATGAGACCAACAGCATTTCATTCATTAGTCAGCCTCCTCCGGGCTAACCTTCCACCACAAACTGTTCATACTGTACAGCAAATAAATAACAACTAAGAGCGGCCTAACTACGGCTGACATTCTAAATGGGTTGCAAATGATGTGGTTTTTAGAGGAAGATTTAACAGACCGTGGTTTGGTTCTATGTACGGTTTTATACAAAATGCCAACCACTAGTGATCATAAGGAGCAAGTGGGGGAAATTGGAAACTGGTATTGCAAATTCAGCAATTCCTGTTGGTATCCAATGGACTAGATTTGGACTCATAGTAGAGTCATGCAAAACGTTCTGATTCTACATGACTGGAAATACACGTGCACAATTGCAAACAGCGGTTATGCTGCCATAGATAAAATATGAAATCATTGTTGGATTCCTAGAAAGTCTGACATGTACTACAAGACATAAACAGTGTTTAATTGGACCATAACATATTAAACCACTCAATAAAATGAATCTCTCTTTCACTCTTTTTGTTCTTAATAACATATATTTTGATTTGCTTCATCTGATCGATACGGAAGATGATTAGGGCCACATGTAAAAGAAACATTTGAGATCTGACCAAAAGAGTTATTTTATATTATATATATTAGTTATGAGATTGAATTCCAAATTCTGAGTTTTATCTCAGGTTTTATTCTCAGTATTCAGATTTGTTTTAAGTCAGAAAAAGTATTGTTTTAAATTCTGACTTTATTCTCCGAAATCACATTTGGCCTTAATCCTCTTCCGTAGAGCTACTAACCCCAGCCCAACCATAGAACCGGTGGGCATATTACATTAGGATGTGCTTCCTTGAAGTTGGTGCAATTTATTTGTGGACCATTCTATAGCCCTATAAATAATATAGTTCAGTGTTTGTGTGGCTTATTTGCACATGAAAGATAATAGAATTGCATGAACTTCTAATTTACATTAATAAAGCTGCACATATAGAATAGTGGAACCTATGACATGTAGACATACAATAAACGCCTTCTTTCCAATTACTTGAATGTCACTAGATACATGTATTATTTGCTCATAATCTTTCCGACAACCGCGTTTTCCATTTCAGTGAGCAAGCACTAATATTTTCATTAAATGCATAGCATAGCATTATTAAAATCAGGTAATTGGGGTTACCCAGCTGAACCATGGATAAAGAGATTTGTATCTTAGATTCATTGGGTATGGAGCATAAGTAATGACTGTCTCTTTATTAGGCAATATCACCTTGTGTGGCATCGTCATAATGCCTGTAAAGTATTCCTAAAGGACTGCAAAGATGAAAGCATTGAGTAATGCTATACTTTTTGTATCCATTTTGGTGTTTGCTGTAAATACTGCTGCACTAGTAACTTTAGCAGCTGATTAAAGAGCAGACCAAGAGGTTTTTTTTTTTTCATTTCCCGGACTGACCACTCCATTTCTAAGAAATCCAAATGTGGTTTGTCCATCCTCCATCTCCCTCAGCCTTTCATTTTTGCTCTGTGTCCTCTTTCCTCTTCACATAGCCTGAAGGCACATTCTGAAGCTGCTATGGTGTGATTTACATGTATTTTTAAGGCACCTTCACTCACTCTTTCAAAATGTAAACCAACAAACTTTCCCTGTGTGTGTGAGAGAGTCTTTTCAAAAACCGCTATTAAGAATTAGCTCACAACTTTATCCAAGTATCAGTATTAATAAATGATGGTCACGAGGGAAACACTCAAAAGGATGGAAAGTAGCCACGAATCGCTTGCGGTGGACTTCTTTACTCTTTGTACAGTAAGTGATGTCTTTGAGTGAACTCTCACGGCAAAGACATATTTCCATATAGAGAAGATGATTAGGGAGGACAAAGACAGGCATGCAGAAAGTACAAAGCAAAAAGCAGCCTTTGTATTTCCCTCAGAGGAGCCCCCCCCCCTCTAGCTCTCATCCCTTAAATCAGAGCTAGCTCCTCTGTCCATCACAGTCCCCCAGAGAGACTCTACCTGTCACTCCGCACTAAAATGAGCTTTGAATCTGCTTTTGTGAGTCCCTAGGAGTGTGTACACATTCACATAAACAAATCATACACACACATAGAATCATATGAGCTGCTATTGAGTCAAAGGAAGGAGAAGCCTGTTCCTGCCGGCCTGTCCAATCAGACGCCTCTGGGTATTTAATCACTTGTATGTATACAGAAACATGAAAAATAAATCACTGCTGTGTACTGTACACCACATGACAACTTAATACATCACATTAATAACATGCTGTAGCTCAAAGGATGACATTTGCTAGAGCCAGCTTGTTATTTTCTCTTGTTGTTTATGGTTGCCATCGGGCATATACAAAGTATTACAGTATATTCACAGTTTTTCTTTTCACTGGTTATCATTTTTCTGTGCAAAATCAATCTTCTGTTGGGTATTCATGGGACATTTTCAATTATCTGCTGATACTCAGCGAGCACATGGGTTCAGATGAGGTTATTTGTCTTTCTCAAGACATTTTTTTCTAATAACAAACCGAGTCAAAGTCAAATTGAAGACCAGTTGCAGTCGAGTCTGAGTCAAGTGACCAACAGAATGGAAATAGAAATGGATGGAAATGGAGGATTTGAATAAATTATATCCTAGAATAAGGAGCAGCGCTTAGTTATACTATACAGTGCCCAAAGCGGTGTAGAGGGACTGGTGCCTTGCTTAAGAGCTCCTCCACAGTGCTCAGGAACTGAACTGGCACCTCTTAAAGATGGCTCTTAGTCTGTATGGAGAATTGAACCTGCCTGTTCAAGACCATAGTTAGCAATACTGTTTTTCCAATGCTAGTCCTCTGAAAAAATCAAGTCAATGTTGGAACTGAGTTGGTACTTGGTTCAGGGGGTTGAGGTAAAATCGAGCAAAACACTAGGATTGGGCGAACTGTTTCACATACAGTATTTGACATCTGCCAAATGGTCCCCATCAGCCCAAAAAACAGTTATAGCTGATGTAGTTGTGTAAGTCTGCTTTTGGCATAAGGAAAATACAACGGTACATCCCAAAGTTTCTGTCACAGAAGGAAGACTCAAGCTTAAAGGGGACCTATCATGCAAAATGCACTTTTTGATGTATTTTATACATAAATATGTGTCCCCGGTGTGTCAGGGAACTCACGTAGCGTCATAAAATAAAACACTCTCTCTTTTCCTCCGTGCGCAAATCTCTAAAAACGGGGGTACAACGGAGCTGATCCAGATTTGCCATCCGATATGACGTAAATTACGTCATATTAGCAGGATATAAAAAGGAACTCACCTTGCATAAACTCCGCCCCCTCTTATTTTAATTTTTTTCAGTTTATAAAAAAAAAAGCTTTATACCCAAAATCAGCACTTTTGTAACAGGAAGAGAAATAGAGGGATATGAGGCATGGCTAGAATGGGTGATCTGTTTGGTTTTTTGACCAAAACACTTCATAGACATTTTTTTAATAGTTTTTTATATATCTGAGACCTATGCTATTGCCTACAAATAGCATGATAGGTGACCTTTAACCTGTTCCACTCTGAGCCTGTTTTTCAGGTCTCAGGCTCGAAAATGACATTCCCAGAACAAATGACCATATCTTCCCTTCTAAAAGGGTTAAATTAATAATCTTTTCTCAAAGTAATGATAAACCTGTGAGTTGGATGTAGAAGTGTCAGAATCAATATAAATGTTTTTTATTTTAAAGAAAATTCAGATTTTACATAGTAAAAAACTGTAAATTATAGTGTCCGTCCAAAAATTATTTTTTACAGATAGTGAAAACTACCCTTGGATGATGGGTTAGTAGACTAAAAGCTTTAGGAATCCAAAGTACAACATATAATAAGTACCCTGTATCAAGATTGATGCAAAACAAGTGAAATTTGACCTTTTTAGAGAGATTTAGCCAAAAACGGGGCCATCTGGGGTCATTTGGGTGGATTTGACCTATCTCTGGCCCCCCTTGCTCGATCTGGTTGGTTGACATACCCTTGTGACCGTTAGAGCCAATAGAATCGAAGGAGGAGACTCGCATAGACACACATTGTAAAGAAAAAATGTTGCCGCTTCGCGTGTGGAAAGCGAAACTAAACTGGAGGAATGTCTCCTTCTGGAGTTTGGAAACTAAAACGCAGTTGTATTGCTTATGGATTATCAGAAATAATTTCAAAGAAGGCACAGACACATAGGATGAACCTATGGATTAACTGCAGCATCGTTTTTTTATCGTTTTAATGCCATTGAAGACCACTTTTGACCAAGGTAAGTCATATTTACATGTTTAGCTTCTTGGCTCCACATGTGATGATGTACGCTTTCGTTGATAGCGTCGCGAATGTTTATCACTGAGTGTTGAGGTGGGCACCGTTAGATTCAGTGTCTCCAGGACACCAAAAAATAGTGTTTGGTTGTGCATCTAGGATAAGTAATAAGGGAGTTCTGAGTGAGTTTATGTGCCTTTGTCGGTCCCGTTTTTTCGATCGAGGCTAATTCAGAGGCTGAGTGCTAGCATTGTGGGGTTTTTTTTGAAAAAAAAAATTAAAAAGATCAGTTAGCTGAGTTTCTTCCCGTTACATGGATATAACACATTCATAGTTTTATTCAATATTAAGATTCCTTAGACGTTGTTTCCTGCAAATGACGCGTTTATCCGCCCGGTACCGGGGGGAAGGCGTGAAACAGGTTAACTGCCTTGTTAAGTCATCATACGTTTGAAAATATGCTGAAAATAAGTGGTTTCAGGGTCCTTCGATACCGTGTCCTGCTTCAGGATGACTGAATTAAGACATAATCAGTTCTCTACTGATACAAATAAACTCAATACCAAAAAGTTAGATCAAATAGAAGCAGTATCATCCCAGCAGTGTGTAGCCCTGTGATTAATTGTATCTTACGGTAATGGTAACATTAGTAACTCGCTTCTCTTACTGTGATGCGTTCATCTCTGTCATCTAAGTTGGAACCATCTCTCCTCCAGGAGATGGTGGGTTCAGGGTGCCCTCGGGGGGGTTGGCACTCCAGCACGGCCGGCTCACCCACTGCCACCATGACGTCCACCGGGTTCTGTCTGAAGTCATCGCGCAAAACTGGAAAAGAAACAGAGAGGCAGAACAGTCAATGGAGTGCAATTCAATGACGTCTGACTATGATTTGACCATGAAATATTACAATATTGGGTCATATTATTGGCACCTTCAAGGTTGTATTTATTGTGTCAACAAGAAGAGCTCTTTGACTGATGGGATAGTGTGGTATTCACAGCTTTCACAAGCACTGGGGTACAAAGTTGTGACATACAGTATGCTGTTTTTTCAATGTCAGAGCCCAGGGAATTGCTTTTTATTATTTACGTTCCATTTTTCTCTGTCACCTACCCTATTTTAGTTCCTGGAATGAAAATGAAATGCACAAAACACAAAATGATCCCTACTTTTGTAATGGGAACAAGGGCATATTGTCAGTCACCTAGCAACGGTGACTTTAACCATTGAACAGCAGCATATTGCGTACTTTACTTCCTATGTCGAAAATATGACCTTACAAGTTCCATTTGAAGGCAGCAGAATAAAGAGCTGTTTGCTAGCTCTGTCTATCACATCATTTTTTAAGGCACAATACCAACTCCTGCCGAAAAGACCTTCCATTTGATGAGTTATAAATACAGTATACAGATATAATGTAATATATCATGATGCATTGTATATAATATCACAAGGAGTCATCATGGGATTATTTCCTAACTCAAACAGGGACGAAGTCTATTGGGACAAGCTGCTGAGAAAGCTGTCTAAATGGCTGACAGTAAAATGAGAAGATACACTGCTGCAGAGCAACGCTGAAAGGTGAGATCCAGACGGCTCCACCAGCAGACAGCGGAAAAGCTACCACAGCAATTTATCATCTTTCCACAACGAGTAGCCTGCGCACAGAAACAGAGCTCGCCAGCCAGCCAGAAGCCGAACTGGAGACAAAGCAAACCCGCATCCACTCCATGAAGCAAAACAGAAGAGTGAGATTTCTGGTGGCCACAGGCAGCTCATTCCTGTCTCCACCATGGGCTGGATAGAAAGGTCTCCACTGCAAAGCCTCAAGCCGTAAACAGCATTAGGAGAATCACGTTTCTGATGAGAGGCAAGGGATTCTAAAGATGTAAATGTGTCAAAACAAATCCACTGCAAAAAGGGTGTTCCTGAAGGGGTGGAAATGTAAAAAAGGGTTATTATGACATGTCTGTACCTTTAAGAAATCTGGTTTATTCATTCCAAGTGTATTTGAAGTCTCTAAAGATCTGCGGTCTATGTATTGAACAAATTACAATTACAACAACGTGTATTGGACTGTTTAGTAATGTACTGCATTGTGCTATCTACTAGGATGTCACCTTTCTAGAGTTTGTTTTAGGCCTTCATCTGCATTATTTGGTTTTGGCTTCACAGACTATACTAGACTCTACAATCTATACCTTAAAAAAAACCTGGTATACTCTGTCCAATGCCTATCTTGAATTTCTTACGATATGGAGACCATGTATTGAACATCTTAGGATAGATAGATGACAACAAAATATATTGGACTGTTCTGCACTGTACTGTATTGTGTTGCATCGTGCTAATGGCTTGGGTTCCAGTTTTCTAGACTATGTTTCTGGTCTTCATCAACGTCACTGGGTCTTGGCTCTATTGACTCTGAATCAAAATGACTGACTTGATGGTGCATATTTTCCATGGCCAGTTAGTTGGTTTTATTATGTAATGTCTACTACTCTGTTTGTCTTCACGTGTTGTAAAATAACAATCTAACAGAGTTCTAACATGTAATATGAGACGTTTGTCAGCAAGAAAAAAGAAAGGGGTACATGATCAATTAAACTATTGTTTGTTCTATACAACTGAGGAGAATTCTGCTCCCTACGTGGTGAACAACATGTGCAAACATAGACGCCTGGCCTGTGCATGAGTGACTGCTGTTAAGCATTCCCAGTCTTAAATTACAGCGGGGGGCTTAGAACCTGAACAAGCCAAGGGAGTTGAGCCAACACAGAGAGAGAGCAGAACTGAGTCGAGCTGGGTTGGGGTGAAAAGACAGGAAACAATGAGGAAAAAGGCATAATGGCTCCCAGATGGCGGCAAACTCTTTCACCTCTGGCTACGGATTTGTACATAACGCCTGACAAGCGGGCCTGAGACGCCTGATGGGCACCGAGGATATGGGAGAACAAATTGGGATGACCTTCTAATTGGAGGCATTGTGGCCCCCGCACTTCTTTGAGCTCCACTCTGCTCGCTGCTCTGCCCCTCTGATCCTCTGGGCAGGGCTGCAACTGGATGACTGCAGTTGACTGAGTCCTGATGGGAAACAGCTGTCTGAAGACCCCCCCCCCCACCCACCACCACCAACCCCCAACACCACCGTGTCACATGATAAAAGGCATTCCTCATGGGACGCAAAAACATGGTTGAGGTTACGCCAGGCAGGAAGAAAGTGAGACCATCACGATTGTGCGTACAGTGTGTGTGTGTGTGGTGTGTGTGTGTGTGTGTGTGTGTGTGTGTGTGTGTGTGTGTGTGTGTGTGTGTGTGTGTGTGTGTGTGTGTGTGTGTGTGTGTGTGTGTGTGTGTGTGTGTGTGTGTGTATATGATTGATTGACTGATATCTCATAAGTTTAATGGAAATTGAGCTACACATCTGTTTTTACTATCGTGTGAGGTCCACATGTCTCTGTGGGATTTGAAGCCTGGACTATTTCCTCAAACCCCTTTGTTAAAAGATTTATTTCTAGTGATAACGCTGGAATTAGTGTAAGACATAAGGCAAAGGCAGATATGGGTTAAAAGCTTATGAAGGTTAGTAAAGAATTTTCTCATAAGCATGCATGTTTTAGTGTGTGTTTGAACAAGGAAGAGTTGGCCCGTTTGCGCATATTGTGCTGGGTAAGCACCTAGAAAATAATCTGGAACATGTGCTTGTAAAACGGACTGTTTATGTTCTCAGAAGGGAAAATGTATTAAGTTGTAATGAGAAATTATGCATGCTAGAGTAAAAATCATGTCAGCATACTTAAATTGTCCAGTTTCTCAACATTCTTGGGTTTCTTTCTTTGTCGTCCATTAGCGCCACACAATTAAAATCCTTTCTGCTTATCATTGAACAAATCCTTACAAGATTTTCTCTAGGAGTGGTGTTGCTGACATTGCTAGGGTCAGGATCATTTGCAAAATATGAACATGAATAATGAGGAAAACGTGGGGTTGATGCATTCATGAAATATTTCAGGATGATTAATGAAATGTAGACATCCTCTAATGACTGCCCTGATTTCGGGAATGTTAATAAAAATGATGTGGAGGAAAAATCACCACAAATGAAAGCCTCATTCTTACCTCTGCTATGCAAACAGAGATTATTTTTCTAAGAATTCTTTGATTGCAGATGATTCATATTTCTCAAGTATCTCCAAAATTGTAACTAAACATTCAGAATTTTGCTACTTCTGTTTTATCTGTATTTTAAGAAGGGTCTTTTAATAAAAACACTGAATAATGCAGTTTCCGCTCTGATACCTAGGGTTGGTAAATACTGAATCTAAATGTAACTGTTTTGTCTGTGCTGTGTACGTGTTATACAATAAAAAGAGGATAAACTGTAAGAATGTGAATTTTATGATAGCTTCTGGCAGCAAAAACCAAAATGCTGGCACATGTGCAAAGGGGTTACGTCGTAATTAAAGGCCACTAAAACATACGCACCATTACCTTGATTAAAATTACAGTTTTCTCCAGGTTTTAAATGGCTGGAAATATTGTTTATAATGTATCAAATATATATCTCACAGCTGGTCATTTTAATGTGCGAATAGGAGTTATTAGAGACTTAAGGCTTTGTGGGCTTTCTTTTCGCTCCAGTTATTCTCAAATCATACTTTTTTTACATCACAAGTTGCACCCACATGAATTTCACAGGTTTTTTTTTTAAGCCTAAAGCATGTCGACTTTTGCTTCTGACAGTGAAACCCACCTCTACAGCTTCTGAAGCCGGCCAGCTCGCTTGTTTAGCTGGAGCTTTACACCCTCTCTCGGTCTTCTTTTCACCCTCCATCTGATCCCTCTAGATGAGAATCTCATAGCCCACTTCAAAGCATCTGCCCTTGGCCTCGCTACCCTGGATCTGACAGTGTCTGACTTGTTGTTAGTCCTCTGGAGCCTGAGCAGAAGCATGAAAGGCCTGCTGCAGCACAGCTCCAATAATCCTCTCTGCAGAGTCCAACTCCACCAAAAAGAAGCACAATCCAACCCCGCAGAATACCATATCACACTGCATCACTGCATGAGATGGCCACAGGCACCTTCTGTCATCGCAGTCCACAACAACCCTCCCTCGTGACTTCATTTTGTATTCAAAGTGTTTTTAAATACAGCACATCCAGCTGTACAACTGTTTTGGTACAACAATAACCCAAAGTCAACATCAACATTACTGCGAGGCACTGACGGTTTAATATCAGTTAAAGCTTTGCCAAAAGCAGGCCAGCAGCTGTGCAGGCTTCTGCTTCCAGCTCATATTATAGTTGAGGAAAACAATTAGCAATCAGCTCATACAAATGCCTGTTTAGAGGCAAGGGACAGATTTAAACTTTGAGTAAAAAAAACAGTTTGTCCACATCATTAGTTTGATGTGTTTTACGTGTTCTTTTAATTCATCAGAAATGTAATTCGAGCAAATAAAAAAAGGGAACCTGTATTGGCGTGTAGGAACCTGCTGAGTACAATGGAACCACATTTTACAATCAGCAGGTCTGAGCTTGAAATGTATAATTAGCTGCCAAGTATATAATACCTATATTATTTATTAAAGAAATTCACATTCTCAAAAGTCTTTCAGATGCAGTAAAACAGGCCTTACAATGTCAAAATGTAATATATTCAGTCAGAGAAAGAGCTGGTTATTATTATATATATAATTATAGTTCTACTGCGTGGCACTCATATCCAGGCAGTTATAAGTATAACATAAGTACTGGCATTTATGACACTTTCACATTTCTGAATGTGGTTCTAAAACACTTAAGACCTTTGATTTTGTCAGATAA